TATATACAATACATACAGTATATACAATACATACAGTATATACAATACATACAGTATATACAATACATACGGTATATATATACAATACATACAGTATATACAATACATACAATATATACAATACATACAGTATATACAATACATGCAGTATATACAAAACATACAGTATATACAATACATGCACTATATACAATACATACAGTATATACAATACATACAGTATATATATACAATACATACAGTATATACAATACATATAGTATATACAATACATACAGTATATACAATACATACAGTATATACAATTACAATACATGCAGTATATACAATACATACAGTATATACAATACATACAGTATATACAATACATGCTTGCCACTGAAATGTCTTGTTACTTGTTACCTGAAACAATTCAGTAGCTTGTGATAGAACGGTAATGTTTCTATTTTGTCTTTGCGTATTGCAGTTATCTTCTCTTGTGAGCAGGTATTGATTGTTACGTCATTGGTTTCTGTGAGAAAATTACGTCGTTTTCTCAAAAATTGATGACGTTACTCTCACAAACAAGTGACGTTACAATCAATACCTGCTCCCAAGAGAAGATAACTCTGCAATACGCAAAGACGGAATTGTGTAACAGGCAACTTTGATCTGATGAGTGAAGTGGGTATTTAAGATGTTACTGTTGATGAACAAACAGGTTTGCGTAGACACAACACGCATCTGGTACTAGAGGCATTTACATGTTGCAAAATATTCTCCATGTATGTGCTACATTGAGAAATGAATTTAATCCTTGGAGTAAACAGGAGTATTTGTTTTCCAGAACACTAAGATCCGGTCTGGGTACATGGAGGAGTTCACTGTACGGGAGGACCTAATGGGACTGGCGATAGGGTCACATGGTGCCAACATTCAGCTGGCTCGCCGCGTTGATGGAATCACGGCAATCGAACTCGATGAGAGCACTTGTACATTCAAAGTCCATGGAGAGGTAAGCTTAAAAATACATGTAGGTTCAAAATTAATCTAGAGGTAAACTTTAAAACACCTATTTTTCAAAGAGTATCAAGAGATAAGTTAAAAAGTACCTGTATATTTCAAATTAGCCATTTGCATTTATAGAAATGGTGCATTTCTAGTTCACTGAAATAAGCTTGAGATCGTCTATGTATCTTGCTGTTTTCTTTTTCAGTCACAAGAGTCTGTCAAAAAAGCGAGAATTATGCTAGAGTATGCAGAGGAGACATTTCAAGTTCCTAGAGAGCTAGTTGGTAAGAACTGTTAAAGGTCATTTATGGTCTTCTATAACTTAGCCAGATGTTTAAAGAGTTCACTCAAAATTGGCAAATGGTGATTTTCGCCCAATTTGGTGTATGTTCTGTTTGCCCAGCCCAAGTTTGCATTTCATGCTAAGGCTTTAATTCTGATTTGTCATTGTTAACAGTGTCTTTCTCTTTATGTTTTATTTATTGGTTTTCACCAGATAAGGTGTATGATTGTATCAGCATGGCATGGCATTTTTTCAATTTCATGCTGGTAAGAACGCAAGTCAGTTACACAGTATTCTGTATGTAACCAGTTTGCATTCATACCGGAATGGATATTGAAAAAAATGCTGTTCAACCTTGTATTTAAATTTATATATTTTTAGTTATATTTTCGATATTTAAATGCCTATGTTGGTCGTCAGTGCAAACGAGATTCCTGAAACAGCCTAACATCACCAAAATGTTTGCTTCTATTGGTTGTCTCATGTTATTAGAGGTTGGAGGAGAAGCTTCAAATTGATGCTGATGTAATTGCATTCATAGCCCTTGAATGCAATTTCTTCTGGTAGTGGTTATAAAGGAACTTGCAGTGGAAATGCAAATATATTATGATGATATCCAGGCCAAGTCTGAAGTTGGACTTTATGCATATTTGATGAGGTTACAGAAATGTTCTCAAATTGTTTTATTTCAGCCAAAGTCATAGGAAAGAACGGTAAAAACATCCAAGATATTGTGGACAAGTCAGGAGTTGTGAGGGTTAAAATTGAGGGTGACAATGAAAGTGAAACTCTTCGAGAGGAGGTGAGTGTATTGTCTGTGGCCATGATCTGTGTTTGAGTTATGACACTGCTACATACCGTTGCCCTGCCTGGTGTGTGTGTGTATAGAGTTGATGTGAAGCTATGTTCATCTGCTGACGGTATCATCTTCAACCTTCATGGTTCCTCTGGACTTCTCCAAATAAATCAAGAATATTGATATTTTTACCTCAGTTTAGGTAGAATTCTCAACTTATCCTATTTCATATTTTGTTTTCAATAATTGTAATTTTGTTATTTGCTTTATCTTCTGAAATCATAATGGTTTTTTTCTTGGTAGAATTCCATATCTGAATTTCGTGGTGACAGTTGTACTATATACTATCAGAAGAATCTTTATACTGTGAGTTTCGTGTCACTTTCTTTTTGAACAATTGTTAATTTAACGACACTATGTTCTAATTGTTGTTGCTGAGTTTGAAGACTCGGGTCATACTTTCTATCTATCGGGATTCTTTTTGATGTCGCAGATAAAACAAAACTAAAAATAGACAATGTTTAGGTTATTGATAAATTAATTTGTAATTGAAGCATTGAATTACAACTCACTAAGGATGCATCAGTTATGGCACCAATAGCTTGGGTGTAATCCACTAGAAGGCTTTTATACAAATGATGGTTTGTTGACTTTAAATGCTTATTTTGTATTGGCAGCTCAGATTTTTTTGATTTTTTTTTCAATAATATATTCTGAGAACCTCTGCCTTTCTGATTTGTTCCTTAAAGCAAATGCCCATTTGTTACCGTCCTTGGGATTAATAATAGTGTTATAAATGTTCATTCTGTTAAATGGTCCTGTTTATTTCCTGTCCAACTTTCCTTGATAATCCAAATATATTTTCAAAACAAATATTTATGAGGAAATGTAGATGTAATTTGGGCAGTCCTATCATATGTTCATGCCTTCTATCATCTGCAGACATATGAAATCCAATGGGCAGTCCTATCATATGTTCATGCCTTCTATCGTCTGCAGACATATGAAATCCAATGGGCAGTCCTATCATATGTTCATGCCTTCTATCGTCTGCAGACATATGAAATCCAATGGGCAGTCCTATCATATGTTCATGCCTTCTATCGTCTGCAGACATATGAAATCCAATGGGCAGTCCTATCATATGTTCATGCCTTCTATCGTCTGCAGACATATGAAATCCAATGGGCAGTCCTATCATATGTTCATGCCTTCTATCGTCTGCAGACATATGAAATTCAATGGGGGAAGACGCTCATGTTATTGTTGAGTAATATGATTGATGTTTAGTAAATATTTGATACAGCATTTAGTCACGTCACAATATCACTGCCTGTTTAATGATCCTGTAGTAATACATTTGACACCTACCAGGTAGTACATTTATTTTAGTTCCATTTAATTTATGTGTTTTATGATGCAAGCAAGTTGAGAAGAAATCAAGATACAGTGAAAAACATCTGTAAATTTCACCTTCATATATTTTTTGATAGATGAAGTGTGGGGTTTTTTTGTGAATAATTTTTTTCCTAAAAAGTAAAAAAAAAAAATATAAAAAAATGAGAAAAGGTTTCATTAGCTGATATATCACAAGGGATAATCATGCTTTTGTTTTTGCTTATTTGGTTCAGCATTATTGTGTTGTTTATAAAATAGTCTTTTATTAATGATAACCTAACCATGTGGAATCAGGGCAAGCCTTTATGTATAATCAATATTTTCTTCTTTTGCTTGTATGTTCATATATTGTTGATATTAAATAAATACAAAATGCGATTAAAATGCAACTGTCTAATTCTGGATGGAATCTGAAATGCCTATTAAGCTTCCACTTAAATACATTGTATATATATGACAATATATTATAAGTTTGCATTTTTTTGTAAAAATCTGTAAACAGAAAAGAAAAAAAAATCCTTTTTACAATCTGACTGTACAAAGTTTTCTTAAACTGTATTGTAAATACATTCTTACATTAATTGCAAGGAGAATAAATCTGTACCTCAAGTATTGTCTGAATTTTTGAATTTAACTCATTCACCCTTATATATTTAAACTGGACTTGCACAGTTTTTGATTTGGTAAGGTTCAAATGTGACTTTAGGGGTGAATGGGTTAATTCAAGGTTTATACAGTTCAACCTTTCTATTACAAAGTTTGATATCAGAAATACATGTTTATCTTGATGTTTCGGATCCCAGGAGGGTCTGTTAGTATGTCTTAACTTGATTACTTCACAAACACAATTTGTGAAGATTGTTCATTGTTATGTACAGTGTCTTGAAGATGATGAGGTTAAACTGTATACACCTGTTGTACATTTTCTATGCCTTGAAAATAATTCCGAGTAATAAATACCACATAAGTACAATGATGATGAGTTAGAGCGATTAGTATTGACTAAAGACACCAATGCACGGTGCTTTCCCTTTGTAGTATGACGATTGGAGCTCTCAGGTCCCCCTGACTGTAAGTCCCGAAATTATCAGCCTTCGCAATCACTGCATTCCCTGGGCGCTGTTCTACGTTGCATCACCATCTTATACTCTGTCACAGTCAAGCACAGTCTACAGTATCGTAACCTGGACAGAATCTTTTTCAAACAAGATAAATATCTTATAATGTCGACACATGTATCTGAATTGAAAATTATATAAATTTCAAAAATTCAATAAAGATACAAATGTATCACTTTTTGATGGAAGGAGATAGGATCTGTTGTGCTATATTTGATTGTGTTGTAGATATGAGACATGAGGTATAGATTGGCGGTACAACAGAACAGCCTAGTGATGCTAGGGCACAGCAGCACTCCTCATAGGTTACAGATCTGCCCATTTTAATGACAGTCCTACTTGGCTTTTTACTCACAGGTTCTAGATATTTTTTTCTCACACTTTGGAAGATTTAAGTTCAAAATAAAATATCTTGTATTTAAGGTGCTTTACGAATCAATCAAATCATGTATAACATTGCTTGATTGGATTTTTAGTCAAATTAATGCTTCAAGAATGGGAAGAACATTTGTCATTCTCAGCTTAGCTATTACATAATGTACCAAAATAACGCTGTCTCTCAGCACAAATGTTTGATGATGAAAACTTTCTAATATTCATTGTGAGTGTGTCTATCCTATACAGACACTTCTTAGCATTTAGTACATCCCATTTATTTAAATCTTAGACATTGGTTTGATAACCACACAAATATTTAGAAATGATAAAACACCTTCGTGTGTACACTGTTATGCCACTAGGGGTGTGATCATTGGTGTAGTTCTCTGCATGTGGTGTCTGTATACCAAATCGGTAATGTGTTGTGGTAAGTTGTGTGATGTACTACATTCATCATTACCTTCTTCTGAGGTCACTCAGGTCTCATAATGTTGGGAATGGTTATCCTTCCCGAGGCATTATCATGAGATCATGTAGTGCTATCAGCAGAAGGCAATAGCAGTAAATTATCTCCTAGTAATCTGTCGTCACAATGTTTCTTCTTGGTGAAAGTAACAATTTTCTCATTAGGTAGCATTGGCTTGTTATCTCATACTTTTTCATATCATCTAGCTCTCATCTTCATTTATTTGTCAAGGATTCTTCTGACTTTTTTTTTTTAAAGAAATTTTGGGCTAAGTTTGGGTGATGTAATTCATTCACCCCTGAAATTTCATACTGAACTATTCCAACATTTGGGGTGAATGAGTTAACTATTCATGTAGGCTAAGGGATTTTATCCTTAATTTTCAAATTATAAAAGAGGATAAAGAACATTAATTTTGTCAGTTTTGCACAACGGCCATCAATACTGTAAACCTTCATATTTTTGGACCACCAAATTTTCGGTAGCTGGCTATTTATAACAAATCAATATAATTGGTAAATTCTGTGTTGAATTCACTGTCATTCAAGGGCGAAATAGAATTGATGGTGAAGATGTTCATTTTACAGTAGGTACTAGCTAGGTTATATGAGGTTTGGTACTATTGTTGTAAAGGTTCTATATTTGCATGCATATCTGGCTTTTTTTTAATTTAATACCGCTTAATGAAAAGTAACATTTTTATGTATACAGATAAAACGACATTTTAGATGCCAGTTCTCCATAAAAAATATCATATAATCTGTTAAATACAAATTTATCAAGTGAGTTTGGATCATTGAATAAATATTCTATGACACATTAAATATTATCTTCAGTACATTTTAAATTGTTTTAAAATGATAAATCATAGATTGCTATCTTGAATATTTTAATGATCAGACATTTTTATCAGCTCCAATCCAAGTATGTAATACATACTGTAAGTATTAGGAATCTGGATTATTAAGTTGATGGATGTTGTTATTACCTCCCTTGTCTTACCTCCCTTGTCTTTGTGTCCTAGCATGCTTCTAGTGATCTGTCCTCTTACGTATATCATGTCTGTTCCCTCCTTGTCTTGAACTATGATATGCACACTAGTTGAAATTCAATGCTAAATAATTCAAAGTTGACTCAAGAAAAAGTAATTATTATGTAGTAAAATATACAGATCTGTGTCAGAACATTAAATACGGTAAATCAATCTCAGAGGTTGGCTTACGTCATTCAGGATTGAAACAAAAACATGATGTTATGTTATTTTTTGGGTTCTTGGTTTTACATCAAAGCATCTGTAAAGCAACGGGAAAATTTAGTGAGGAGCAAAACACCAACCATAGTACATAGTACTTGCAGTTGTTGAGTGATAATTTATGACGTACTTCATATAAAAACTCAATCCCTGTTTTATTGATGCTAATAGCTACCTGTACTTGTACGTCCAGTTAACCTTATCAGTGTCATATTTCTTGTAAATCCTTCCATTTACAATTATCACTATGCATACCTTATGATCTAAAAAAAACCTTTCATCACAAATTCTCACATGAACATGAAATTAGAAAAAAGCTATGTGCAATGTGATACTTTAAATGTCAGTAACAATTTTAATTTGTCAATATCTTAGCTGTATGCACAACAAGACATGGTTTAATAACAGTCCTTTTTTGTCTGCATGACATTCGTATCTTTAATTTTGTTTATTTAAATTGCATTAAGTCAGGTTAAAACTGTGTTTTCTGTGATAAATCATATAAATATCTATGTATTTTTCATAAAGTTTAGATAAAGGTGATGTAGACATCTTGTTTCTAATGAAATGAATACAGGTGTGCAGACTTCAGGAATACCTTTAAACGTTGTATTTACATCTGTAGTAGAATCATTACCATCTCATAGCTTTAATCATCATTATTTCTACTCCCTGACCATATTGTACATCAAACAAATCAATTTTCTGAAGTTTTCATAGCCCAGTTTAAATGCTTACCAAAGTACATTACATATATATGTCAATCTTTATTGTTCTTTCTCTACAGGGTCAAGTGCCTTTTGTTTTCGTTGGAACAACCGAAAGTATTGAGAATGCTAAAATTCTTTTAGAGTATCACTTAGATCATTTAAAGGTAAGTATGGGTATAACATAAATTATGTCGTTGAGTTTACAAATGAAACTCTCAATAATCATCACAAATAGCATAAAATTCTTGATCACTGTTCACAAAGACGATGGAGTGTCCCATATTGTTGTGTCGCCTGAAACGCGAGGCGGCATATAGGTATTACTTTGTCGTCGGCAGCGGGGTCAGTTGTGTGGCCTGAAACGCGAGGCGGCATATAGGTATTCCTTTGTCGTCGGCAGTGGCGTCAGTTGTGTGGCCTGAAACGCGAGGCGGCATATAGGTATCACTTTGTCGTCGGCAGCGGCGTCAGTTGTGTGGCCTGAAACGCGAGGCGGCATATAGGTATTCCTTTGTCGTCGGCAGTGGCGTCAGTTGTGTGGCCTGAAACGCGAGGCGGCATATAGGTATCACTTTGTCGTCGGCAGCGGCGTCAGTTGTGTCGCCTGAAACGAGAGGCGGCATATAGGAATTACTTTGTCGGCAGCGGCGTCAGCTGTGTCGCCTGAAACGCGAGGCGGCATCTCGGTATTACTTTGTCGTCGGCCGTGGCGTCAGTTGTGTGGCCTGAAACGCGAGGCGGCATATAGGTATTCCTTTGTCGTCGGCAGTGGCGTCAGTTGTGTTGCCTGAAACGCGAGGCGGCATATAGGTATCACTTTGTCGTCGGCAGCGGCGTCAGTTGTGTCACCTGAAACGCGAGGCGGCATATAGGTATTACTTTGCCGTCGGCAGCGGCGTCAGTTGTGTCGCCTGAAACACGAGGCGGCATATAGGTATTACTTTGTCGGCGGCAGTGGCGTCAGTTGTGTCGCCTGAAACGCGAGGTGGCATATAGGTATTTCTTTGTCGGCAGCGGCGTCAGTTGTGTTGCCTGAAACGCGAGGCGGCATATAGGAATTACTTTGTCGGCAGCGGCGTCAGTTGTGTGACCTGAAACGCGAGGTGGCATATAGGTATTACTTTGTCGGCAGCGGCGTCAGTTGTGTTGCCTGAAACGCGAGGCGGCATATAGGTATTACTTTGTCGGCAGCGGCGTCAGCTGTGTCGCCTGAAACAATATTTCCGTGCGCTAACTTGAGTTCCCTTGGGTTGATTGAACTCAAACATGTTACACATGTTGAATACCAATATAGCTTGAACAAGTTCACATTTCAGAAGTTTACATTTTTGGTGGAGTTATGCCCCTTTTATTGCCAAATAAGGGCATTGTGTAGTAAATGAAAGAACTTTTTAGTTTTTCATCAACTCCTTTTAAAGTTTGTATGGTAATGCTAGAAGCAATAATGTTCAACATTATTTATGTTTTTTTCTGTCGAATTTCAACTTTCCGCTTTTTGGCATTTCTGTTTATGCGATAACTCAAGCCAAAACACTTTTCTTACTAAAAGTGCTGAGCAGGCGCCACATCCACTCCCGTGAAATTCTTGTTTACTTTTTATACTCATGTTTGTCTGGACGTCCTTTTTTTTTTACTGAAGGTTCTTTCGAGGTGGAGGACTATGGAATGCTCGCGATACTTTGTCCGTTATTTTGGATAAATTTCAAAAATATTTTTTGTACAGAATTAATACTTAGCCATTGAGGTGGATTGGGCGAAATTTTACCAATGCATTTGAGTGAGGCCAATTATCAACTTGTTTTGTCTAAAACCTGTTGCATACATAGTTTTCATCTGAAAAAAATCAATTTTCTCACCTGTAGCATACACATTTCTTACCTTTAGCATACATTATTCTCAAATATCTAAATTTTGTTTTTCAGGAAGTAGAACAATTACGTAAGGAAAAGTTAGAAATAGACCAACAATTAAAAAGTTTATCAGGCACACAGCCTGGGCCCTACTTTCCTCCTCCACGAGACCGAAGGTAAGAATAACCCCCTGAATACCTCCATACATTTGAATGTAAGAATTTAGCCGCCTTCATCAGGATTGAAATCATTTAGTAGAAGTAGCCCTCTTCTCTCATTATGAATGAAGATTAGGGAAAATCCTAGAATTTGAGAGCACAAGGCCATATCAGCAATTTTTCTCAGTAAATTTTTTAGTCATTACTATCTAAAATTAAAATAAAATTGGAACATGGAGGGTTCAACTTCAGTTGTGAGGGGGTCAATGGCCCCGTGGCCCCCTCCAGAATTATCCCTGGATATTAAAATTGAATCTTTTACCCATTTATGATGGAGACAGATCTTATCCGTAGGGAAAGACTGTTAAGGTTCATCAGGAGGTTTTAATGAGCGCTGAACCTCAAAAATCTTATCAATGACAAAGGTCTGGATTTGTGTCTACATCACCAGAGGAGTGACGTTCTTTTTCTCTCACTTTTCCCTCCCTCAATAAAATACTGTGGCTCTGTGCCACCGTAAATGACACATGATATTTATTGCAAAATTTGATGATATAATCCTATCGTTGTATGGTTGTGCTGCTAAAACTTGTGACATTTGATGGTGTGATGGTATAACTTACAGTCTGTCGTATGTTGGTGGATCGTTGTATGGTTGTGCTGCTAAAACTTGTGACATTTGATGGTCTGATGGTATAACTTACAGTCTGTCGTATGTTAGTGGGTGGGACCTACTCGAGGGTGTAGATTTGGTGATGTGGTGGTATAACTTACAGTCTGTCGTATGTTGGGGGGTGGGACCTACTCGAGGGTGTAGATTTGATGATGTGGTGGTATAACTTACAGTCTGTAGTATGTTGGTGGGTGGGACCTACTCGAGGGTGTAGATTTGGTGATGTGGTGGTATAACTTACAGTCTGTCGTATGTTGGGGGGTGGGACCTACTCGAGGGTGTAGATTTGATGATTTGATGGTATAACTTACAGTCTGTCGTATGTTAGTGGGGGGGACCTACTCGAGGGTGTAGATTTGATGATTTGATGGTATAACTTACAGTCTGTCGTATGTTGGATGGTGGGACCTACTCGAGGGTATAGATTTGATGATGTGATGGTATAACTTACAGTCTGTCATATGTTGGTGGGTGGGACCTACTCAAGGGTGTAGATTTGATGATGTGATGGTATAACTTAGTCTGTCGTATGTTGGAGGGTGGGACCTACTCGAGGGGGTAAATTTGATGATGTGATGGTATAACTCGCGGTCTGTCGTATGTTGGTGGGTGGGACCTACTCGAGGGGGTAGATTTGATGATGTGGTGGTATAACTTACAGTCTGTAGTATGTTGGTGGGTGGGACCTACTCGAGGGTGTAGATTTGGTGATGTGGTGGTATAACTTACAGTCTGTCGTATGTTGGGGGGTGGGACCTACTCGAGGGTGTAGATTTGATGGTGTGATGGTATAACTTACAGTCTGTCGTATGTTGGTGGATCGTTGTATGGTTGTGCTGCTAAAACTTGTGACATTTGATGGTCTGATGGTATAACTTACAGTCTGTCGTATGTTAGTGGGTGGGACCTACTCGAGGGTGTAGATTTGATGATTTGATGGTATAACTTACAGTCTGTCGTATGTTGGAGGGTGGGACCTACTCGAGGGTGTAAATTTGATGATGTGATGGTATAACTCGCAGTCTGTCGTATGTTGGTGGGTGGGACCTACTCGAGGGGGTAGATTTGATGATGTGGTGGTATAACTTAGTCTGCCATATGTTGGAGGGTGGGACCTACTCGAGGGTGTAAATTTGATGATGTGATGGTATAACTCACAGTCTGTCGTATGTTGGTGGGTGGGACCTACTAGAGGGTGTAGATTTGATGATGTGGTGGTATAACTTACAGTCTGTCGTATGTTGGTGGGTGGGATCTACTCCAGGGTGTAGATTTGATGATGTGATGGTATAACTTAGAGTCTGTCGTATGTTGGAGGGTGGGATCTATTTGAGGGTGTAGATTTGATGATGTGATGGTATAACTTTGTCTGTCATATGTTGGAGGGTGGGACCTACTCGAGGGTGTAGATTTGATGATGTGATGGTATTACTTACAGTCTGTCGTATGTTGGTGGGTGGGACCTACTAGAGGGTGTAGATTTGATGATGTGGTGGTATAACTTAGTCTGTCGTATGTTGGTGGGTGGGATCTACTCGAGGGTGTAGAATTAAGTGTCAGAACTGAGGCTTCAGTGAAGTTCTGACACTAAGATATACACCTAAGAGTATAATTTTGATGTCCCTATATGTAAATCTTGTATGTCAGTTTGTAGTGGATTAGTGGCAATCTTTTATTTGAACCAACAAGATTACTTTAAGAGCTTAATGAATTAGCAAGCTGATAATGAATAATCAATGTACAATTTGTTTTTGAATACAGAGACAGTAATGACCCATACTCAGATGAGCGGGGTAGGCGGAGAATGTCAGGAGGTCGAGGTGGTAGGGGACGTGGTACTGGGCGGCGCTGGGCTAATGAGAGGCGGAGCATGATATCAGGTATGCCTCAAGATTAACCTCTCAGCACCGAAAAGTGAAAGTGAAAGTATATGGAGACTAGTGCTTTTAAAGATAAACTGCTGAACTAAAATTCTTTCCCCTCAAATAGGTATACATGACTTATCTCCCCTGACGTTATCTATAGCAACATGCTATTGGGAAAAGGTTTAAACAACACCTTGAATAGAACATATTTCTAAAACTAAATATAAGAGGTTTCTAAACATTCTCTTCAGGTTGGTAAGCATGGATTATGAGAAGTTCTTTTTACACAACCAATAACATTTTCTATGTGACGTTTCGATGACTAGTACGACATGTACACTGTCACCATCATCAGACAAATGACCAATGAAGCGTATGCACACAAAGGTTAATGGACAACTCTGCACATTTTACTCCTTTGTGTGCATACGCTTCATTGGTCATTTGTCTGATGAAGGTGACAGTGTACATGTCGTACTAGTCATCGAAACGTCACATAGAAAATTTTATTGGTTGTATAAAAAGAACTTCTAATAATAAATATAAGAGGTGTCAAGTCTAATAATGTGTTGAAAATATTTAATGTGTACCTGTATTTCTGAAGGGAGTAAGTGTACTAGTGATTATAGAGTCCCTGCATTGAGAAAACACATTGTAACCTTAGAAATCACACGTTACTTCCCTGAAATATACATTTGCCACTGAACATCATACAGTCCTGGCAATATTCTTCTCAGTTGGTAACGTCGTCGTACAAAACTACCTAAAGTGGCAAAAGAAAAAGAATTTTCCCAAACTTGGGGAGGTAAATTTACCAGCATTTGAAAAGAGAAATCTACCCGAACAGGAAAAGAGAATTCACTGAATTTTGTGTGTTAACAGGAGATGAGAGTGGTCAGAACGTGACCGACTGGTCAGCAGAAGTGGCGGCAGAGGAGCAGAAGCATACTGGGTACCTTACCGACAGTGTTTTGAGTGGACGAGGACGGGGTGGTCGTGGTGGGCGTGGCCGGGGGCGTGGTTATGGTGGCTATCCCTCCTACAGGACAGTGGGTAAGTTTTGTGTTTGGAGCGGGGAATTACCCCCACCTACATGAATGCAGGTAATATAAGGACCTCCACTCCAACAGAACAGTTAGTTTTGTCTATGTGTGGAAAAGTGAACGATCTGGATAGGTTAGATTTATCCTTTGTAGAAAAACTTTTGCCAAAAAAAAAATCAAGGAAGCATAAATAAACCTGATGTTGTTATCTCTATTTGGCAGCTTATGACTCAGAAGATCCTAGGGATCAAAGGTCACGTCGGCGTATGACAGACGATGATGACACTGTCCTTGACAATGCCAGTGTAAACAGCCAGGATCAAGGTATACATGGTCTGTCGTATTTATATTGTCTTAACAACAATCTTTTCTTAATCCTAAAACCTAACAATAAGTATTCTCACAATAACCTAGTACCCAAAAGCCTTTCTAACAATAACCCAGTACCCAAAAGCCTTTCTAACAATAACACTTTACGTTCAACCGGGTTGTTAATAACCCTATTCCCTTCAACCATGTCTAATTGTGAACCCTTTAATCTAAATCCTCCTAAAATTAATCCCACCTCACAAACCTTCCTAAATGTATGGTTGATTTTATAAATATTATTTATTAGGTAATGTATGTTACATAATTGGTTTTGACTGTTACACTTAGTGTATTTACATCTCTGCATTAACATGTTTATGTACCTATTTAAAGAGTACAGGATTGGCTTTCTGTTTAACCTTTATGATGTGTAATGTATATTTGTGTCGACAGATGAGCGGCGACCAGAAAGGAGGAGACGCAGAAGAAGGAACAAGTTCCGTGGTAGCAGTAGTGCAGCATCTGGTACAGAAACGGACAATAGTGTATCTAATTATCGCCCTGGGGGTGGTGGACCCAGTGGTCCCCGCCCTGGGGGCAATAATGGCATTAAGACTGAGAACTCTAACATGCCTAATCAGGTCCCCCGCCCTAAAGGTGAATCTGTCGCTCCCCAGACATCAGCCGCGCCTCCTCGACAGGCACAGTCGCCCTCACGTCAGTCACCCGGCCCTGGTAAGTCGTACCCCCAGTCTGGCAGCAAACCCAGCACACCCAGCAGCCAAGGTACAGCTTCCCAGGGGCCACCAAACAAGGGTCCCAACCCAAAGGAGCAGAGGGAGCCCAGGAAGAATGGAGGAGGGCCGAACCAGAGGTTTCCCCCTACGGCGAGAAATGGCAATCTACAAAGTGGAAGTGAGACAGAATCAAAAGCCAAGGGAAGCTTTCCAAATGGCAACAACAGCAACAAACCAGCTGAGCACATGGTGAATGGTGAGTAGGCGTGGCCCAAATGGGCGTCTCCAGCAGTGGGTGTGGTCACATGCCCAAGGACACGCCCCCCCATCTCCGACAAACTGCTGTCTGTTTGCCTCTGCTTCACACCCGTAGTCACGGCCTCCCTACTTAGTGTTGACGGATCAGGCATGTTACACCGGACGAGTCTTTATCACCGGATTGGAAATCAATAAGAAAATATAAAGAGGACTGAGTAACATCATAACTACTTGCATTCAAAATGTGTGTGTGTGTCAGATCCGATACACAAATTGATCGGCAGATTTAGTTTTTTCTTTATATCGGATGTGGACATTATATGACATGAGATAGAAGGATTTCATGAATACTCTATTCATACAATGCTTGAAGCCATGAATTCTTTGACTATTACTGTGTACCTACATTGTATATGTATATTTATGATAAAGGTCATATACCGACTGTACTGTGTAGTGGTTGTGTAAAAACGGTGGGTCAATCTCAGATCTGTAAGCAGAAGGAAATAGAACTGACTTGCACACTTATCTCCCCTTCACAGAATAGAGCTCCTAGTACAGGGGTAGTATGGATTTCAAATATGTAGGAAAGGATTGAGCACTAGAGTGATACAGAAGGTCTTGGACTGAGTACAGGTGTTACTAGAGTGTCCTTGAGACCATTGAGAGGTAAGGTAGGGTTTAGGACACCAGCTATCTCCTCAAACCATTGTGTGATGAGTTAGGGCTTAGGACACTAGCTATCTCCTCAAACCATTGTGTGATGAGTTAGGGTTTTAGGACTCCTTTAATAAGGACATCAGTCTCAAAAATATTACCTGAAGGAAATTATTTCTTTCAACAAAATTTATGACATTGAAGAATTTTTTGTTTGAATTGAAAAGATAGAAAAGAGTATAAAATATAAAAGCAAGTTTTTAAAGTTATTGGAAGTAAGTTAACTCATTGATGAAGGTTTGTCTGTAATGTTAGATCTAGATCAGGGTGTTGTAGATGAGAGAAAAGCCAATGAAAATGTATGTGTAGTGATAGTAGAGCAATCTTAGCTACCAGTCACCGGGAATTCTTCATCGAAAGAATTTGCTGAGAAGGAAGCCGATTGATGTTTTATTGTACCTTGTTACAACAGTGTCTGTAAAGTTTGACCTGGAGACTTGGGTCTGTGTTTGGTTTGTTAGAGAACAATGCTATGACACTGAGAAGCATGGGCCAAATGATATACACTCAGTATCGAGTACGACCTGTAATCACAGTGTTGCTGGCCAAAGAGGTACAGAAAGGACTATCCATGTTTACGTACAAGTGAACTACATTTGGATGGTGTAAGCAAGACTATGTTTAGGTAAAGAGATCTAGGTACCCAACCGTGACCCCATGTTATGGCGGTCAATCCAACTTAACCCACTTATGCATTGTGGTTAGTTGGAGTTCAAACACACCACTATACAATGTTTATAAAGAAACTATCAAACCCATCAGACCTTTCAATGCTGCTACAAGTCTGAGAGCAAATGTCAGACCGCCGTCCTTCTCTCATGATTATCATGTAACATAAATTCTGGTTCATATTTAATTCCTACATTATTTTCATCAAAAATATTTGTGATGATTAACAAAAAAACGAGTAATTTTAGTAAAGTAAAGCAGTTGCTCTTACTAACCCATAGCTTATTAACAAGTATGATGGATTGCCAAGTACTAACATATGCTCTTAGGGTCACATATATATCATTAACTGATTTATAATGTCTTATGTGTTTTAAAAATATTTACTTGTGGATTTTACAAGACTGTGTTAGATTAGAATAATTTCATTACATATCATTGTCATAGTTTGCAATTTCCCAGTTGTATCATAACAGTACAGTGTGTCATAGAAAGACGTGTTATAAGATACACCAGTTTTGTTGCTTGTACTGCTCTGACATTTGCTCTGAGACGGTGTAGAGTTTTAACACCTGTTGACGACTATACAGGTAAATATCCTGTACCTGTATATTGTGTGAGACACGGACTCCAGCGTGCAGTTGTACACAGGAGGTTTGTTTTAAAGTGTTCATTTTATTTATTATTGAATTTAAATTCAATTTTGTGATTATTTCCATATTAAGACATATTTTACTGTTGAATTTTTTTTTCATTGTTTTAATTATAGTTTAAAACAACTGTCATATATAACTTTGTGTATGAGCGTGAAGATAAAATTTGCCAATATGTCCTTACAGTTCCAGATGAATGTTAAACAAACTATCTTCTGTGTACTGGTGTTGTGGGACATTGTTTCAATGTGTTACCCAGTCCCCACAACCCCAAACAATGTATGACAGGTACAGGCTTACACTTGTGTTGTGTTTCAAGCCCGTCCTATGCCTGTACACCTGAGATTCTGTAGTGAACAGAAGGGTAGATACTGCTTCAGTCACTCACCCTGGTTCTGCCCACATTTATTGTTACACTTCATGGCCGACACAAAATCACTTTCCCTACAGTCGTCTAATGTATTAAGATGTAACTGTTTGGTTGGTGTATCACTTGCTGAAGTGACATATGGCAATCTTATTTTATCATCTGTAAGCTTAGGGGTACAGATTTCCACACAATTTGAAAGAATTACATGATTTATATGAAACTTGCTTGGTGTTTAATTATAAGTCCATTGCCCTAATCTGATACTCAGTAGAACTCGTGCATTGATAATGAGGCTGCAAATCTGATTTGCTGATGGATTCCAGATAACATCTTTTAAAAGAATTGTCAAATGTTTATGAATATTGCCTGGCAAACTTTCTATTTAGGTCTCCCTTTCTGTTTCTGGAAATCTTTTATATCTGTTTCTTAAGAGATTACATGGTAAATTTGATTGCCATCATTCCACCTAGCCTTGCACAGGTACACATCTGCTTCTGTGAATTCATGTGTAGGTAATACAATGCTGAAGTAATCTATGAAAAAGAACATCAACATAGAACTTGTTAGCTCGGACATAATCTGTAAAGCATGCTTGTCATTATTTAGGTTGGTCATATATTTAAAAGTTTATTTGTACTAAGTAAATTTTCCAATTTGTCAACACACAAATCTTTGAGAATGCATACATAATGATCTACTTGTTGCCATTATTATAGTTATAAAGTTTGTAATTGGATTTTAAGTATCCTTTTTGTACTGTTAGACTATGTACTATAATCATATTAATAACACGAGTGATTGTGGTAATAATGGCGTTTTACTGATCATTCTCATCAGGATCTTTTGTTGTTGACATGTTGACGAAATTGTCTAGTCTGACGAGATCCAACTTTTTCACAAATCAATTTGCATTTCATGTTTTGTGCAGTTTTTATGACAACTTGTAAATGTTGGCAGTGTCAGGACTGGGTTAGGCTTGGTAGTATTAACTACATTAGTATATACATTCTGAATTTTCAATTGTGATTTTTTTTTGGCTTGTTCCAATTATCATTAATTATTTATGTCATGAAATTTTATTATAAAAACATGAACTCCTTGTATTAATAGACAACACAGTGAGTCAGTGTGGATGAAATACATTATTGTCTGAAATATGGTTATGATTAAATCTAGGTTTATTTCTTTGTGTGTATTTTTGAGTTATCTTTCCCTTATTTAGTTTCTGCTTTGTGTGGCTGGCAGCTATTTCGCCTAGATGTATTGTACAGATGGAGACAATGTCCCTAATGTCATGATAAGATATGTATTGTATGTGTTTCCATTAAAGTCACATTTTCAAATTTACCTTCCAAATATAGGAAGTCTTTAATGTATTCCTGATATCTTATGAATTATTTTGATGAATAGATCTGAATTCTAAATGCCATGGACAAGTATTAATGAAAAAGTCTCCAATCAAAATCGATATGTATGTAAGCTTAAAAGTGAAGTGTTGCGGGACAAGGTAAATGGAAAAGTTCACAAAAAGAGCCTGTTTGATTTGGTAACTACTCAATAAAACATTTTAACTCATTCACCCCTGAAAACAAATTTGCACTCTTCCAATTCAAAGGTTGGAATAGTTCATTATGAAATTTCAGGGGTGAATGAGTTAATAAAGCAAAGCCACTGCCTAGCCAGTCGGCCTTTAATGTGCTTAGTTAGCCCAATCAAGCAGGCCTTAGCCTCTTGTGGCTAGGTCACTCTCTATTTACATATAAATGTTGTGAGAGTAAAAATAGCTACACAGCTATCCCCACCATACAGATTATTTTCCTCAAATTTTATGAGAGATATCCATAAGATGAGAGGTAGCCATTTTGATGAGATTAGAAGTGTGCTTTTTAGCTTTAAGAGACATACTATAAATTGTTAAAAAACAATGCAATCATTAAAATTTATTTTTTAGCTCATTTTAGAATAGAAATTATTTACTCTACATTCAAATTTGAAATTATGAAATGACTTTGTGGAACAAAAGTAAGTCGTGTGTGATAGAGCTTCCAGTCAGGTTTATATTCATAATTTTCATTTAAATAATCTCAACTGTTCAAAATTTGTGACCAGATGGGCATTGTTATGATTTAAATTACACCCAAACAAGAATAAGCATGCAATGAATAGACATTCACATTAGACAGACACTTCAATGCTATTGTCTGGATCTAATATTTGCAACATAGCTCATTGTCAGTCAAAATTTGACACAATTTGAATTTAATTGGTAAATGGACAACTTTTGTAGCAAGTTGCCTAGCTAGACTAACTTGACTGATCTTGGGTAATGATGTTAATAAAAATGTGTATACACATATTCTATAGAAAATAATAATTCACACCTGATACACTTATTATGACCTGAACTTAGTAGGCCAAACCATCCGAGTTGAAGGGTATTTAGATAATCCCTGACCACGGACACCATGTCTGTCCCACGTTCCTTCCCGAGTCTTTACAGATGTACTTGTGAATCGGGGGGAAGTCTATGATATTAACCTGTGTAAAAATGGATGTATCATTACAGGAATATGTTTCGCAAACAATTCTTATATTTATACTTCTAGGGTCAAGGTCATACCAAGGGGTCAAATCTTGTTGAGGCTTGTCTAGGCCACATTATTTCTGGACAGTTTAACCCTTTCACAACTTTGTAACTTTAGTAGACTCTTCAATGCATTGATCTGGATGAGTCCATTTTTGTCTACAGTGGTGAATGGGTTAATCATTTTTTATGAAACTTCACAGACAGATGATGCAGTCACAAAGCAAACATAGAATAACTGTAAGGTTGTTAAATATTTGTAATTCTTTGAATGGTTGAATATTTCTGACTAACTTCTTGTTAGGTTGTATCATTTGTATCATTTCAGTACTTGGTGTGATTGTTTCATGTTTTGTCTGTTAAGGTATTAACCCACTTTCAATAATATATAAGAGCATAAAACAATTTTTTAAATGACAGTTATTTGTTATTTGAAGTGTAAGGATTTTTTTCGGTTAATTTCCCATGCCTCCGAAAAGTTGTCATGCAAACTTCAGGAAACAGAAATTACTTTTCCCTTAGCGGCGTCATAATAAAAGCTCTACAGAGCTGATGTTTGTTGTTGACAATTGTACACAACGTTAAAATAAAATAATAAGATTTTAATTTTTTTATTATTATATTATTAAATAATAAGAAACTAGTTATTACCCTTCATGTTGGAAGTTTAACTGGATTCTGTGTCTGTGGTACATATGAACATGTCGAGGAGGTAAAATAGTTCAGGCTTGTTTCACTTGTGTGATGCACTTTGCTTATAATTCACATAGAACTTTGTCTGCATATGTCTTCATGCTAATTACCTGTAGTCCTCATGATTACCCATCTTGGCTATTATTTCTGCTTTTTTATCTGGTGCATAATTTTTATGTTTGTCCATTCATCCATCTGTCATATCCTTCTTGCTCCTTCAATCGCTGAGCTTTTAACATGTCTCAAGATTTTGAGGAATCACCTAACTATTACAAGTTGAGGTGTCAGTATAAGAGTGGAATGTATACATTGGAAGTGTACATAAAAAGGTTGGAGGCAGTGTTTTGTTTATAGTGTTCTAATTATTTTACAACTGTTTAATTTTACTCCACACATAACAGGACATTGATAAGGAAGCAGTGGCTATGTAAGTAGTCAGTATGAATTCTAAGATTATTGTTGACATTGACTTTCGTTACAAGATTTTTTTTGGAACATTGTAGAGTCCATTTAAGCAATGGGAGACAAATAAATTTATCAAATAAGTGGTCATTGGGAAAACCATTCACAGAATATGGAAGTAAGCTATTTATTAAGGATAATACTGAAGTTTGTGTAATTGAAAGTTTGGTTTTATTGGATTGGGGGTAACATGTAGTTTGATTTTAGACGAACGGCTTTCTATTGAAGATAGAACTATACAACCATTTCATCTGCAAAACATAATTATGTGCCTAATAGTTACGTTTTTTACGAATATGGTAATATGTCAATCAAAACAAAAATATGAATTGCGTCAAGTATGGAACCTAGATTCTCTTGTTCCTTTACCATATATTGTATCTGATGATTTTTTCACAAGTCACTTCATCAGCAATAGCTTAGTTTTGTGAATTACTGAGTGAGTAAAATCATACTCCGTGTGTGTGTGAACATAATCATAATCATTTTGGTAACACAAATAACATTTATTAATTGTATTTTATATGTGAAACTGGTGAAATATAAACCCTGATAAATGGTCTGCAACAAAGAAGACAGAAACTGGACAAAATTGTAAGGAATAAACGGCATATGTTGTCCTATATTGCTGATTTCCTGGCCAGATTTGGAAGCTGTAAGCAAACATGACAATCTCTATATTTACTAGTGAATGATACTGAAACCTGTGTGATACAGTCAATGGTTTAATTATTTACATGAGACTGACACAGGAGCCTGTGTATTTGGTTACAGATTAGGGATAGGATATTACTTGTAAGTAATACAAGGGTGTGTGCAGTAAGATAAGGTGTAACAGACTTCTACTTGATGTGGTCTAGGCATATAGAGGGGCATTGTGAATTACCCTTTTTGTCTGTGTTTTAAAGACTAGGTCTTGTTCCCAGTTTCATGAATGTTCCTTAATATAAGGAAATAACCAAAACTTTTCCACAAGAAGCATTATTAAAATTGATGAAAGTTTTTTTATCTTACAATTTTCCTCAGCTCCAATAATGCTTTCCTATGGAAAGCCTAAGTTAAGGAATTTCCTATCTAATTTTTAAAGACTATGTCCTTACTCTAGTTTCACCAACGTTCCTTAACTTAAGAAAATTCCTTAAATCCGATATTACTTTCCTATGTGAAACCTTAATATCAGGAACTTGTTATGCTAAGGAACGTGCCAAGCTATTACTGGTTAAGGTACTCCTGTAGTGGCTGATCTGATATTTTACACAATCACAACCAATAGCTGTGAGACTTTTATACTGTATTATAGTGAAATATTTAGTGTAGCGTTGTGAGGAAACGCACCTCAGCGTCTGACCCGATATACTGTGTTACAGCCATTGAAATGCTCACATGACAGAGCAATGACCATATATACAACGTTTGACAACTTGGGCCAAGGTGTTCAAAGCCTGGTTAGCTATAGTCTAACAACAGCTTAACCCTTTCACCACTGTATATCATAATGAATTGATCCTGATTAATGCACGGTAGAGTCTAATAATGTTGCATAGGGGTGAAAGGGTTGAGGTTTACCTATCGAGATATTTTCAGGACGAAAATGAAAATTTTGATCCTCATCTGCTTAGGTTGTGTAGGCATTTCACAATGCAAAACAAAAGAACATGCAAGTTTAAAGGATTTGAAGAAACAATATATCACTTTGGAGTTATTAACGCTAGCAAAGCTTTGAACAAACTGGCCCTGTTGTGTTACATCCAGGACTTAACCAACACCCATAAAGACATGCTAACTTCCCGACAGTTAGACCATTGAATTGTTGTACATGGTGCGGGGCGAGGATCTTAGCAGGGATGATGATAATCATTACCCATGATGTAACCTGTACATTTGACATTAGACTTTCTACCAGATGTACATTTTGTTTATAAAATTGTCCTTTTGTATGCAAGGACAATCGTGTTTCATTCACAAATGTAATTTAGCAAATATTTTGCTTCTGAATGAACTTGTGATCCCGAAATAAATGCCCTGTTGGCGGGAAAACGTTCTACTAACTAGTAGCTGTACAGTACAACAGTGTTTGATTTTTTAAGCAAAATATGAAATAGAATCATCAAAAATTAAAAAAAAAAATACTTAACTGTTGTTTTGTTTGTGCTTTACCTGGTACGAGAACATTGTATAATCTATTCATAATCATATGAAAGACTGAATTGAAGTAAATTTTTATTTATGTTGGTTCACTTGAGCAAAATTTACCAGTAGTGATCTTTTGCAACAATTTTTAGGTCACCTGAGCTTTAAGGCTCAGGATCATGATATTTGGCCATTAGGTACCTGGGATGGAGTGCTATAAAGTTTCCTCATTAAAATGAACTTGGCATACTTTCAAGGTCACAGGGGTCAAATATGTTGAAAATTTCAAACAACAATATCCTAAGAACCATTTGAACTAGAGTCATGATACCTGGGTATGTTATGAAGACCAGCAGTGTGAATATTTTTCTCGATTACAGTAATGAGGTCAAAGGTCAACTTTAAATGCTAGTCGGGGGTCAAATGTCAACTTTGGTTATAAGCTTTAACAATCTTCTTCTCCAGTTCCATAAGGCCCAGGGTCATGCTATTTGGCCTGTAGGTACCTGGGATGAAGTGCTGTAAAGTTTCTTGATTAAAATTATCTTTACCTACTTTCAAGGTCACAGGGGTCAAATATGTTAAAAACTTCAAACAACAATATCCTAAGAACCTTTAGGACTAGTCATGATACTTTGGTATGTTATGTAGACCAGCTGTGTGAATTGTTTTATTCATTACAGTAATGACGTCAAAGGTCAACTTTAAGTGCAAGTCGGGAGTCAAAGGTCAATGTGTGTTAAAAGCTTTTAAATTTCATGTTTCAAACAACAATATCTTTAGAACCGTTTAGAGATGTTAAAATGTCTTGTGTTCTAGTTACCAAATTTGGTCTTAAGTTACCTCTTTGTCAGTTTCATGTAACAAAAGAAACAGATGAGCAATACAGGCCCTGAGGGCCTCTTGTTGATTCTTCTTCATGTTTTGCTTGACATATTTTTCCCTGTGACCTTAGTAGTTCAATGTCATTTTCCTTCTCAAATTGGTTAGCTCTATTCCAAAAAGCTACCAGCCAAATCCTATGTATCCATTCCTTTTAGTTCTTAAGAACAAATCCTTTAAAATGTTGTTGACCTCTGTGACCTCCAAATCAGGTTGAGGTAATTTTCATTCGCAAACTTTGATGAGCTCTATCCCAGGAAGTCACCAGCCAAATATTATAATTGTATGTCTTTCGATTATTCAGCAGAAGTCATTTGATGCTTTTGACAAATTTGACCCCTGTGACCTTGAAAGAAGGTCAATGTCATTTTCATTCTCAAACTTTATTGGGCTCTATCTCAGGAAAACATCAGCCAAATATGAAGATTATATACCTTTCAGTTCTTCAGAAGAACCCGTTTAAAGAGTTTGACATATTTGTCCGCTGTGACCTTGAAAGTAGGTCAGTCATTTTCATTCTCAAACTTTGTTGGGCTCCATCCTAGGAAGCCATCAGATATGAAGATTCTATACCTTTTAGTTCTTCAGAAGAAGTTGTTTGAAGCGTTTGACTGTTGTGACTTGAAAGTAAGTCATTCATTTTCAATCTTAAAAGTAGGTCCAGGTAATTTTCATTCTCAAACTTTGTTGGGCTATTTCCAAGAAAGCTACCAGCCAAATATTTAGGTTCTATACCTTTCAGTTCTTCAGAAGAAGTCGTTTTAAGCATTAGACATACCTGACGTCCGTGACCTTAAAAGTAGGTCAAGGTCATTTTCGTTCTCAAACTTTGTCTGGCTATATCTCAGGAAGCCACAAGCCAAATATAAAGATTCTATACCTTTCAGTTCTTCAGAAAAAGTCGTTTGAAACATTTGACCCCTGTGACCTTGAAAATAGGTCAAGGTCATTTTCGTTCTCACACTTTGTGGGGCTTAATGCCATGAAGCCAATCAAATATGAAGATTCTATGCCTTTGAGTTCTTCAGAAGAAGACGTTCGACAGATATGACCTTAAAAGTAGGTCAAGGTCATTTTCATTCTCAAACTTGTTTGGGCTCCATCCCAGGAAGCCACCAGCCAAATATGAAGATTCTTTACCTTTTATTTCCTCAGAAGAAGTTGTTTGAATCATTTGACATATTTGACCCCTGTGACCTTGAAAGTAGGTCAAATTCATTTTCATTCTCAAACTTTGTTGGGCTCTTTCCCAGAAAGCTACCAGCCAAATATTTAGCTTCTATACCTTCCAGTTCTTCAGAAGAAGTCGTTTGAAGAGTTTGACAAATTTGACCGCTGTGACCTTGAAAGTGGGTCAAGGTCATTTTTGTTCTCAAACTTTGTTGGGCTCCTACCAACAAAGCTTTCAGCCAAATATCATGACTCTAGGCGGACGGACGGACGGACGACGGACGCCGCACCATGACTTAAGCTCACTTGTCCTTCGGGCAGGTGAGCTAAAAACTATTTCAAACCTAAAATCAAGTTCTAATAGGCCGATTTTTTACGTTTTCACTTCTCTATAATTGCCGTGCTGATTTCAATAAAAGTTTGCATGAAACATCCACAACCAAGAAAAAAAACACGCTGCAATTACATGCCTTAACTGAATTTTACATTTCATTGCTCCCATATCATCTTTCCATACACACACACACACACACTCACACACAACACACACACACACACAACCCTACCAAGCCCCTATATCACTGCAGTATGATGGTATAAACAATGGGACCCTGACACCACTTCCCTACCTCAAAACGCTGGTCAAATAATATTCACGGATGGAATTTTCCATTTTACCTTATGCAAAATGCCATTATTTTTATTACGCCTATCCTTTGTAAGTTTGAGAAAGAATAAATCTGCTACATGTCGTAGAAGGTGGCTTACTTGGATCCCTCTGTGGAATAGGACATTTGCTTTGGTGTCTTCTTCAAACAGTACATTGAAGAGGCACGGTAGCCTAGTGGTAGGACGCCGGGCTCGTGACCGAAGGGTTGCGGGTTCGAGTCACAGCACGGCACTGTGTTGTGTCTTTGAGCAAGATACTTTACTGCTCTTGTTTCTGTCTACTTGGCTGTACATGAGTACGTGGTTTGGCAGTGCTAGAATTGTTGAATGCTAGCTGTGAGCACCGAAATGGCAGCACGGGCTGTATGCTCTCAGGGGAGTTGAGAAAGATATTGGCAGATTGCAAAGGCCATATAACCACGGATAATAATTTGGGAACCGCTTTGAGACGACCTAAGAACTAGGTTGTGATAAAGCGGTATATAAGAACCTCGAATTATTATTATTATTTTTTAAGAGACCACAATTGATCTGATGCCCCCATTGTAACTCTGTGGATCTGTCTTCTCTCTCTGACATACGTTCTCCTTTCGCTTGTGTTTCCCCAAGACACCATACAACCCCAAGCTGGTGCGAGGAGGTTAAACACCAGTCAAAACATGTACACTCAGGTCACTCAATCCTTCCTGGGGGAATTAATAGTATAAATCACATAGAAATAAGGTTTTGTGTATATTTTCTATAGAAACCAAAGCACAAGGAAACGGTTTCTTCAGGAGAACATATGGAAAAACGGTTTTCTCATATTTTGATTCAGCTTGAGTTTTGCTCAAATGACCTACTGTGATCATTTTATGTCCGTCGTTTGTCAACCTTTTACATTTTGTTTTAGTTTTGAATGGTGATGACAATCCTTTGTGGAAGAGGGTGTCAAATTGTAAAAATCCAACCCATGGGGATTAGACGGGGCCCAAAAGGGGACATTGGCCAATATTTCAGAAATGTTTAGACCCAGGTCTCCACTAGATTATGTTATCTACCCGAGAGTGTATGTAATAATGTTATTGACTATTCAAATCTACCTTACGACCTCTCCTAAATAACATTATCTACCTTACAGCCGACTGTAGACCACGTGTACAACAGACGTGTTTCAGGAATAGGGGGATTTTGCATTTCTGAAAGACTTCTTGGGGCAAAGTCATGAAGAAATTATTTGGAATTCAAATAAAAAAAATTGTGGGCAACCATTTGAAACATTAGCAAACTTCCTTAATTTGTCTTTGTATGGTAACGCGAGGTAGCATACCTCCTGACTTGTATTTGTACGATGACGCTGATGTGATATATAAACAAAAACAACTTTAAAATATTTATAAAGATTACTTCTTTTATTTATTGATATATAACATAACACATACATGTGAGGGTGTGTTCTCTTCAATGAATGAGTGGTTTTGATCAAAACATATGTTATTGCCAGAAATGTATCAAACTGATAGTTCCATGATCGTGTCGCTTCTCCGCGCGTGTTCCGTGATCGTGTCGCTTCTCCGCGCGTGTTCCTTGATCGTATCGCTTCTCCGCGCGTGTTCCGTGATCGTGTCGCTTCTCCACGCGTGTTCCGTGATCGTGTCGCTTCTCCGCGCGTGTTCCGTGATCGTGTCGCTTCTCCACGCGTGTTCCCTGTGTACACTGTCCTCTCTAGCTTGTCATAAATACAAAGTAATAATCATACTGGAAATCTGTATACATAATTAGAACAAGCATTCCTCGACTGAATTGTATATTGAAATCAGTATTGTGTTCGGAAAATTGAAACTACTGTAGCATTGATATTTGAAAGTAATATCTGTTGAAACTCATTGCAATGTGACCTTCAGAGCGAAAGTATGTCGTTCCAAGAAAATGACACATACATATCTAGTGTTACCATCAGATTGTAGATTGCTACTCCTTTCCATATTTATCTACTTTGATCCAGCGTCTCGTGTGCCTGGCGGCCCATTGTGTCCTGTAACAGATAGAAAAGACGATTTGTAATGACAACCCTTTTTAAATTTGCATGTAGTCGTCAGCTCCGAAAAGACCTCTCACACCCGTTGTTTTGTTTAATTGTTTGTCTTTTAACGTTAAATCGATCTATCCCTTTGTAAGTACAAGTATTAACATGTTGTTGACCTAATGAGTCTTGCTTCAGTTGCCTTAGTCTAGTCAAACATCTGTTACATTTTGGGAATTAAATCACTCAAACTTGAGTATGGAGAGCGGTTTTGTAGATGGGAGTTTCATGCCAAGAGCATTCAAACGTGACACATTTGTCACGATTCATTTTGCATTCATATTGACAATGAACGCCAACTGAAAGCAGTTCGGTGGCTAAATCCTCCATATCAAATACGCTCATAGGATTTCATCTACTGCCAAAATAACTTTACAATGCTTGGACTATCTAAATTTCAAATTCACTTGACAATCAGATGACGCATGCCAAATTCATTCAACAACAATAGAACTATATATATTTGTTAACTCACTCGACACCCATAGGACTACTCACTCGACATCCATAGAACTATATCTATTTGTAAGCTCACCTGACAACCATAGGATTATATCTATTTGTAAGCTCACTCGACACCCATAGGATTATATCTATTTGTAAACTCACTTGACATCCATAGAACTATATCTATTTGTAAGCTCACCTGACATCCATAGGACTATATCTATTTGTAAACTCACTCGACAACCATAGGACTATATCTATTTGTAAACTCACTTGTCATCCATAGAACTATATCTATTTGGAAACTCACTTGACAACCATAGAATTATATATATTTGTAAACTCGCTTGACAACCATAGAACTATATCTATTTGGAAACTCACTTGACAACCATAGCACTATATCTATTTGTAAACTCACTTGTCATCCATAGAACTATATCTATTTGGAAACTCACTTGACAACCATAGCACTATATCTATTTGTAAACTCACTTGTCATCCATAGAACTATATCTATTTGGAAACTCACTTGACAACCATAGGATTATATCTATTTGTAAACTCACTTGACAACCATAGAACTATATATATTTGTAAACTCACTCGACAACCATAGGATTATATATATTTGTAAACTCACTTGACAACCATAGAACTATATCTATTTGTAAGCTCACCTGACAACCATAAGGTTATATCTATTTGTAAGCTCACTCGACACCCATAGGATTATATCTATTTGTAAACTCACTTGACAACCATAGGATTATATCTCTTTGTAAGCTCACCTGACATCCATAGGATTATATCTATTTGTAAACTCACTTGACAACCATAGGATTATATCTATTTGTAAACTCACTTAACAACCATAGGATTATATCTATTTGTAAGCTCACTCGACAATCATAGGATTATATCTATTTGTAAACTCACTTGACAACCATAGGACTATATCTATTTGTAAACTCACCTGACATCCATAGAACTATATCTATTTGTAAACTCACTTGACAACCATAGGACTATATCTATTAGTAAACTCACCTGACATCCATAGAACTATATCTGTTTGTAAACTCACTTGACAACCATAGGATTACATATATTTGTAAACTCACTCGACATTCATAGAACTATATGTATTTGTAATCTCACCTGACAACCATAGGGCTGTATCTATTTGTAAACTCACTTGACAACCGTAGGATTACATATATTTGTAAACTCACTCGACACCCATAGAACTATATATATTTGTAATCTCACCTGATAACCATAGGACTGTATCTATTTGTAAACTCACTTGACAACCAAAGGATTATATCTATTTGTAAGCTCACCTGACATCCATAGGACTATATCTATTTGTAAACTCACTTGACACCCATAGGACTATATCTATTTGTAAGCTCACCTGACAACCATAGGATTATATCTATTTGTAAGCTCACTCGACAATCATAGGATTATATCTATTTGTAAACTCACTTAACAACCATAGGTTTATATATCTTTGTGAGCTCACTCGACATCCATAGGATTATATCTATTTGTAAACTCACTTAACAACCATAGGATTATATCTATTTGTAAGCTCACATGACAACCATAAGATTATATCTATTTGTAAGCTCACTCGACAATCATAGGATTATATCTATTTGTAAACTCACTTGACAACCATAAGATTATAACTATTTGTAAGCTCACTCGACACCCATAGGATCTATTTGTAAACTCACCTGACATCCATAGAACTATATCTATTTGTAAGCTCACCTGACAACCATAAGGTTATATCTATTTGTAAGCTCACTCGACACCCATAGGATCTATTTGTAAACTCACCTGACATCCATAGAACTATATCTGTTTGTAAACTCACTTGACAACCATAGGATTATATCTATTTGTAAACTCACTTAACAACCATAGGATTATATCTATTTGTAAGCTCACTCGACAATCATAGGATTATATCTATTTGTAAACTCACTGGAAAACCATAGAACTATATCTATTTGAAAACTCACTTGACAACCATAGGATTATATCTATTTGTAAGCTCACATGACAACCATAAGATTATATCTATTTGTAAGCTCACTCGACACCCATAGGATTATATCTATTTGTATGCTCACCTGACATCCATAGGACTATATCTATTTGTAAACTCACTTGACACCCATAGGACTATATCTATTTGTAAGCTCACCTGACAACCATAGGATTATATCTATTTGTAAGCTCACATGACAACCATAAGATTATATCTATTTGTAAGCTCACTCGACACCCATAGGATCTATTTGTAAACTCACCTGACATCCATAGAACTATATCTGTTTGTAAACTCACTTGACAACCATAGGATTACATATATTTGTAAACTCACTCGACACTCATAGAACTATATGTATTTGTAATCTCACCTGACAACCATAGGGCTGTATCTATTTGTAAACTCACTTGACAACCATAAGATTATATCTATTTGTAAGCTCACTCGACAATCATAGGATTATATCTATTTGTAAACTCACTGGAAAACCATAGAACTATATCTATTTGAAAACTCACTTGACAACCATAGGATTATATCTATTTGTCAACTCACTTAACAACCATAGGATTATATCTATTTGTAAGCTCACCTGACATCCATAGGATTATATCTATTTGTAAACTCACTTGACAACCATAGGATTACATATATTTGTAAACTCACTCGACACTCATAGAACTATATGTATTTGTAATCTCACCTGACAACCATAGGACTATATCTATTTGTAACCTCACTTGACAACCATAGGACTATATCTATTTGTAAACTCACTTGACAACCATAGAACTATATCTATTTGTAAACTCACTTGACAAACATAGGATTATATCTATTTGTAAACTCACTTGACAACCATAGAACTATATCTATTTGTAAACTCACTTGACAAACATAGGATTATATCTATTTGTAAACTCACTTGACAACCATAGAACTATATCTATTTGTAAACTCACTTGACAAACATAGGATTATATCTATTTGTAAACTCACTTGACAACCATAGGATTATATCTATTTGTAACCTCACTTGACAACCATAGGACTATATCTATTTGTAAGCTCACTCGACAAACATAGAACTATATCTATTTGTGATCTCACTCGACAACCATAGGCCTATATCTATTTGTAAACTCACTCGACAACCATAGGATTATATCTATTTGTAAACTCACTCGACACCCATAGAACTATATGTATTTGTAATCTCACCTGACAACCATAGGACTATATCTATTTGTGATCTCACTCGACAACCATAGGACTATATCTATTTGCAAGCTCACTCGACAACCATAGGACTATATCTATTTGTAGCTCACTCGACAACCATAGGACTATATCTATTTGTAGCTCACTCGACAACCATAGGACTATATCTATTTGTAAACTCACTCGACAACCATAGGACTATATATATTTGTAAGCTCACTCGACATCCATAGAACTATATATATTTGTAATCTCACCTGACAACCATAGGACTATATCTATTTGTGATCTCACTCGACAACCATAGGACTATATCTATTTGTAAACTCACTCGACAACCATAGGACTATATCTATTTGTAAACTCACTCGACAACCATAGGACTATATCTATTTGTAAGCTCACTCGACAACCATAGGACTATATCTATTTGTAAACTCACTCGACAACCATAGGACTATATCTATTTGTAAACTCACTCGACATCCATAGAACTATATCTATTTATATTTCCTGTATTCGTATTCTAGCGAGTACTTTGGCTTTACTAAAGTCGCAGTAATATGTGGTCGTAAAACATAGTTTAATCAAAAGAAGGCTTTCATTGACACGACGTAAATGTTCTGTTTTCCCTACTTAAAATGTAATTACCATCTCGGAAGATAACTTGTACATCCGTATTTTTGTTTTTAAATATTCTGACAGATTCGATGGTGAACCGGTCTACCCATGGTTCAATTGGTAAGTACTATTATTTTGTTGACTCGTCCTTATTGTCGGTGTCTGAGTCGAAAAAATATCCCATATATAGGTGGTAAGCACAGTCACCCAACTTTGATGATATAGAGAAATTTTGTGAAGTTGTGAAATCGAGCGATTCTTGATGGGAATTCTATAACGGGCGCATACTACATAATAGTATTACACAAAGAAAACATCAAACAGATTCCAATGAGCCTAATAGGCTTAAATGGAAAATAACAATTACACAGCCGTGAACACCAAGACATCCTATATAGCATATTGGAAGCAAATGCATATCGCCTAAAGTGACCGATCAAATATTAAATTAGGTTAAACCCATTTACTTAGATATTGCACCGATGCTTATCACAAATACTTGACAGTCAGATTAAAACGACAAACAAGTTTCAAAATGTAAATTACAAAACAGTGAGCATGGATTCAGTTGGTTGTCGTTGTCTGACGTTTACAGAACTGCATTGCCGTAAGAACGCTGTAAACCTAACGGGGCAGCGACACTTCATTTCTAAGATTAAAGTTATGACGTATATATTTCCGTGCTTCTTTGTTAGAGACACAAAAACAGTTAACATTGACTGTCGACTGTTAATAACACATTTTAACATTGGACTAAAATATCTTATTAATACAAACTCCCTACTTTCCCATAGCATTCTTACGATCTAACCCTACCAAATTCACTCGATAATCAAATAATTATATCTACTGCCTTTACTTAAATGGTACTATATCGCCATTCGTATCTAATTGTTATAATGTAATCTTACCAAAATCACCAAACAGTCGTGTTTCTATGAATACCATAGAAACAGATAACCATTTCCGTGTGAAGTCGAAAGGTCAATGGGTTATTGACTATTATGAATCAACTATTATCTGTAAGGTAACTAAGGTTAGCAAATACGAATTATGCATGGCAACATGATTGACGTCACACTGAAATAATGTAGAATGCGTTATGACAAATGCATTCGGTATTTGACAATTGCTGTCTTGATTTGAAAACATCTATAATAGATACAGCGTCAACCTGCAAATGTACAAATTTTCCACGGCTGTATCAAAATTTTAACAACGATTCTTTATCTTTTTTTTCCAATCAGAGTGCTACATTTATCCTTGGTCTTTATCCAGCAGGGAACTGCGAACATTAGCATTGCTTAATAATTGTACCTCTGTTTGTATGGTATGTATCTATTTACCCTTTGAAGATGTCGATGTTCGAGGTTCCCAGTGCGCTTTAGCCCGTTTCAATTTATCATCAGTCCCGAGTTGTTCGCGTGAGTCATCCCTGGTGCCGGGTAGGCTGCTATCGAGGTCCCTTGTGACGTCACGTCCGTCGTAAAGGCCACCTCCAGGACCTGTCGATGAACGTGCAACCACGGCACGTTAAACACTGCGAATCACTTATATTTCGATAGATAGAATTATGTTTTTGTGTAAATTCGCAAAGCATATCTCAAGTTTTAGTCTCTCTGGAAAATGTTCTTCGAGTCATTATAAGAAACGACCAATATTGTTCTTTTGCGTAATAAGTTCATATCGGGTAAGTCGACTAAACAAAAGTCGAATTCGAAATACGCATTTGTAAAATGTAGTTTAATCACACTGATTATACACAGTGAATTATAATGCTTTATGGTGATTTACAGCGATTACAAGTAAACGGTGAAATATTGTAATTTTCAGCCGTTTATGGTGGTATATTATGACTAACAAAGGTTTCTGTTGATTAACATTGTTTTTTATGAATTACAGTAAAATTTACTAAAGGTGAATTATCGTAATTCCCAGTGGTTTACGATGTTATACAGTGAATACAGTGATGTACAGTGATCTATAGATATTTACAATTATTTATGGTAATGAAAATGTTTTACGATGATTTACAGTGATTTACGATATTTATTTTAGTTATGTTAAACCGGGACTCAAAGAAGTTTTAATATATTTTTGGGTTATTTAATTCTCCCACCTGAGACAGGGGAAATCCACGTGATACTTCGATGCTACATTTTTCGATCTCGTTGTAAACTTTATTTATTTTACAACAATTACGAAACAAATTATATCAACTATAACTCATCCTTCTCAGCCCGCACAAAAGGGGTTCTTTAGGTGGGCGGAAACCGGAGTACCAGGAGAAAACCCACATGGTCGGGCTGGTAACCCAATATCTTTCAATGTCCGATCGGTAGTCGAACTCCTTTCGTCCTGGTGAACAGTGAGTGCGCCAAAAGACGACTAGTGGTCGATTGCCCATTGGACTAGAGAGTATATTGCGTCACCTTCCCGTCCACGTGGGTTTTCTACGAGCTCTCCGGTTTATATTTCGTTAGATCAGCTAGACAGCTTTACGTGACATTTTAAGCGTATAATCTTAAAGAACAATTTATTCATCGGCTGATTATAATATAAAACGCATTTTTATAATATTTTTTCTTTGGTTGTAAAAAGTATAACCTTGTTCTTTTACACAAAAAAAAATAACAATCAATTTTCCATTAAAATGTTTTTGTCATTTAAATAAACTTAGAAGAAATCGCCATTTTTTTCCATATTGTGACGTAAATCATAAAAACTTTACGGATCGATTCCGCGTGCGTGCAGGATATAAGGTATAAACGCTATATCTTTGGTATTTATCGGTCTGTGAACCACTTTTATCTTTGGTATTTATCGGTCTGTGAACCACTTTTATCTTTGGTATTTATCGGTCTGTGAACCACTTTTATCTTTGGTAATTATCGGTAAGTGAACCACTTTTATATTTGGTATTTATCGGTCTGTGAACCACTTTTATCTTTGGTATTTATCGGTCAGTGAACCACTTTTATCTTTGGAATTTATCGGTCTGTGAACCACTTTTATCTTTGGTATTTATCGGTCTGTGAACCACTTTTATCTTTGGTAATTATCGGTCAGTGAACCACTTTTATCTTAGGTATTTATCGGTCTGTGAACCACTTTTATCTTTGGTCTTTATCGGTCTGTGAACCACTTTTATCTTTGGTCTTTATCGGTCTGTGAACCACTTTTATCTTTGGTATTTATCAATCTGTGAACCACTTTTATCTTTTGTGGTATTAATCCCGCAAAGGAAAAATGTTTACTTTTATTTATATTAATCAAACCAAGAAACAACCTTTAACGCTGTTGATATTTACCAGGAAAATAATGGCATATTAAGCAAACAAAACTGTTCTTTTTTTTAAGAAACGTGACTTGCTTCTTAAAATTTGGTTTGAAATCTAGTATGCTTTTAATCGTCGAGTATTTCTATGTGACGAATTGAAGAATAACTAGGGTTTTTTTTGCTTCGCGGATTTATGCAAAGTGCACACAGTTTTTTTAGGTATAACCTGAAAAAAGTTACAATTGAAGGGATAGCCAAAATTAAATGATTTAGAATTAAACATACATTGACCGCAGGACATCGCACAGTTCTCCATCATGAAATCAATTTGCTCAAAACATTCCCCAGTTGCCGCCCAGTATTCGCATCTGTTATGGTTGTCGGCACAGCCTGTGATAAAACCAATATCAACTGTTATAATCACGTTAATCTAATTCAGATCATATCAGAACATAACGATCTAATCCAGAAAAACAGTTACTTGCACATAATTCTTTTTTCGATATAATGTATAATAGAAATGTTTGCTTCTCATTTGTTTTAAATCGTGTAAAGTAGGTGAAGTAATTCAAAATGTCGGTTTCGAAAAGTTATTGTTGGACAAAGACATAAATCGTTACAGATATGTATGTGATCTTTGGAATTTGTTTTGAGTTACCATAAATAACCAGAGGATATGTCGTTTTCGCTTCTCCTTTTGTGTGATTCATTATTGTTTTATTTATCGTGATACCGTGAAACAAAGTGTTACTATAAACAATGACCTTTGTTAAAAGTTGTATAAACAGTACCGATTTCGTCGGCCAACATTTCTCTTGTTCGTTTTTCTGAGCAGATTTGTTATCATCGAATTTCGGTCATTTTGAAGAAGTAACCCTTTCCATGTCCTTACGCTAACACATATATCTATCTGGTTTGAACACTTATATTATTTAATCACATAAGGACAATACTTACACTCCCCACAGGACAAACGACAGTTTACTAGCATGTAATCCGGGTTTATATAACACTCCCCAGTGGCAGCCCAGTATCCACATTGGGCGTTGTTGTTTGCACAGCCTGGTTTACAATCAATATGAACGTATTGTTATATCTTCCATGAGATTCATCAATTTGGAAATATGTGTTATCATCTATATACTACTCTATACCACCTACCGGTAGCATGATACATTCATTATCATTGGTTATCAGTATGAGGAGAAGTTGAGAATGCCTTGAGAACAACTTTAGAAGAACTTGAGAACAGATTTTCCCATTCCCCAGCACTTCGGAACGTATGTTCTCAAAAAAAGAACGTCTGCTCGCGTCAGGTGACGTGCAAACCGGAAATAGTGTCCACACAAAAGTGAACCACATAAGAAAATATTCCGTCATAAACATATCAATACAAAATTAAGAAACATATTGTGAGAATAACACCACCATTTCAAGCGTAAATGTGCATAAGGAAAAGCCGAATCTTCTATTTGTTTACGTTTATGTTTGCGACCGATGACCATCGAGCCTAGAAGTCGTTTGGAAAGTATGGTGTTAGTATATAGATGATGAATTTCAGGATGGCCTCTCGATTTTATCCACGTGCTCGCGATGAGAAAATTGTTTTCACGACAAACCCTGAAAACACAGTGTGATAATCTATAAATATCGAAGTTTTACTTTCTACACAAATAATGTACGTATTAAACGTGTCGCAACGTTTGAACAGCGACTGGTCCCTTTGTCAAGCTATGACTGTGTAGAAAGTAAAACTTTGATATGAACGTATTATCGATTACAATAATACTTGGGAACACAAATAATACTGATTTAATGAAATAGGAAAACGTACCGCACTCCATTTATGAGATATTAACTTGTTGCTTAACAGCTTTTTAATTAAATGTTTGCTAACAAGTCATATCAAATCGTGTTGCTCAGAGTGTTTTTTTCACACACTACATGTAAACGGGTTCACATTGTTTTAACTTTCGCCTGAATACTTATAGATTTTACTACAGAGTGGGATTTATTACTAGTAAATGTAACCTACTTACATATTCCGCATGAATATCGGCAGTTAGTTTGCATATAAATCGGGTTATTAAAACACTCCCCAATGGCCGCCCATCTATCGCAATAGATGTGGTCGTCGGTACAATCTGGGATAAAAGAAAAAATATTTAAATATTATTAACCATGTAAAAATAATTGGCATCTCGAAAGATAATATAGGTCTAATGAAGACGCAAAACGAACCTTCGCATACTCTTAATAAATCAGCGCGTTTTGACAATTAACTTATATCGGTGTTTAACAGTTCTTGACTATACTGCATTGCTCAAAATATATCTTTTCCTCTGTTTGCGAAATTCTAAGATATCTCTTACAATCCAAAGTAAAAACCAGAAATATCTTCTGAAAAACAAAAACTCGTGCCTCTGCCTTTGTGTTGTTATTTAACTAATGTTTTGCCTTGTTTGTGCCAGAAGTGAGAAATACACAAACGTAGGAAATCAGAATTAACAAATTAAGTATAGAGTCAGAAGATTAGGCCCGACAATGGACTATACGAGGGCATGCTGTATGAGATTATCTTTCACTCTAGGTTAAGTATATCATTTCGTTCAGGAACAAAAACATAAGCGACTCGAAGTATATTTCATGACGCTGGTGTTTAAACCACAGACAACAATTGGTATGAAAAGTTTGTAATAATGTCGGCAGACGAAGCATCTAATAACTTGATACTTGTCAGCAAACGGCTTTACAATCCTGCGCGACTAAGAACAAACTAGCTTGATAACCAAGTTTTTCTTCGAAATAATTAATATCAGCTATTCATGTTTATGTATTACGATGTTTCCAAATAACGATTTATGATAATGATAAAGACCTGCCTCGTTTGTATTGGATTCCAAAACTTCACAAACATTTTATACAATGTTTTTTGTCGCTTAACCTGCTTGACAAAACCAATGTATACTTAATACTTAGTACTATAACAGCAGGATAGCAGAGGTATTGCAACACCGTATATCACAGATGTGTTCCGAATGGGAAGTGGGTATGCATATCTGACTGAACTATTTTAAACATATTTTGTGCAGAACAAGGCTAAGGCCAGGATTGTGGATGTAATAGAGAGAGCCACTATGCGATACATCATGGTCTAGGTATATAGTTTATGAGATATCATTGGTAAACGAACATTTGACTAAAAAGAAAATTACCGTTTTGGTACGCAAAAGGATCCCTATTTCTCTTCAGGGGTTTTACATTTTCTGTGTGTAGAGTAAGAGTAGACACATCATTTTATTTAAACTAAATGGTTTTCTTTTGTATTCATATCATATCCTGGTAGACATTGGGAATGATTTGTACAACACTGAACCCTGAGTGAGATTACAAAAGCCCTCGTTTGTGTTATAATACATGGAGATTGCCTCATTGTATATTTCTTTGTAGTCTTTGTGATAAAATGAATTGTTGAACAACGAGTAATCGAATGAATTTGGAATATAATATATATATTAAATGTAAACAGACTATAGCTCATTGAATCTGTGGTATATATGATAAATAGACTAAAGCCCATTGAACCTAGCGAATATATTGTATTTCGAATATAGCCCACTGTCCTCTGGGGAATATATACTAGTGTATATATATCTTAACCAGATTATAGTAGTTTGAACCTTAGATATACATGTATATATTTTGAAAATAGAATATTGCTCATTGAATTACAAGAGATAACATTTAAAACAGAATATAACCTATTGAACAATCGATTATACATATTGTAACACAAACAATATCAAGTTGAATCCCGGGTTTACATTGTGACAGAATATAGCACGTTGGATCATGGGATATAATGAAACTAACGTTAAAACACAGTAATACACTGAACCGAGAAGCTTGCGCAAGATTGACGTATAATTTTACTCCAAGATATATAAATATAACGTTTACCCGTGTTTAGATCATTTTTCTTGGTATCCCTAGCCTTTAGGACTTTACTTATCGCCTGTATATAGTTGAGCTGAGATGCCTGACCTTCCTTGTCGGCAAGTTGGTGACTATCGACATTCATCAGTTTAGAGGCGGAGATAATCTGGATCATCTGAAAGTAATAATCGATAATCAATATGATAGATGTAGATACAGGATAGAGGAGGATTTACAGGGCGCTGATCCAAAAAAGAGGACGTCTTACAGGCTAAGCATCTACTGAGAAATGGCCCTTTGTCTGAAATATGTTTCACAACATATATGGTCAGTTTATGTTTTGTTGTTGTTGTGATTTACTATATAGATAGACCACTTCTTAGTGGAAGCGTCAAACGCGAGTAGACCATGAAGATATATAGGCAAAGAGGGACTCAAATGACACCAGGGAGGAAAGAGATACATACAAGCCGTCGTAACTCATACCCGTATAATAATCACACTGGGTATGGTCTCCGTTAGGTTTTTACAAGGTTAAGCGTCCTGTAAACAGCTAAGGTGATTTATTAGGTCGCGCCTCCGAGTGTGTTGTGCACCCGTGTGTGCTGTAGGTGGTATGTTGGTGTATTTGCCTCTTTGCTGTAGCGCATACTAATATCTGATGCCGCCGTTAGAGTGATTTGGATGGAGAAACGGAATACATCAAACAAAAGTAACACATTTACGTTTAGAAGAATAGTGACTGCAGCAAAGAGGACTTGGAAAATAATAGTTTCATAACAGCCTGTCCACTTTTGTATTTGATCTTTGTAACGTTTATAGAATTGCGGGCGACGACAAGATAAAATTAACGTTTTCATGTTCATTGTATTAGAGTTGATAAAGTGCATTTAAAACATGAACAGATTCCTGACAGACTTAGTTTCAAATTACAATGATTGGTTTACTTTACTTACAGCTATGGTCATTTAAGGACGGCCTCCCCTGTGTGCAAGATGCATGCGTTTAGTGTATGCGTGTGCGTTTAGGGAGGCTGCAATATGTTCGTGTTTGTCTCCTTGTGATAGCGCGGAACTGATTCCAACTTTATAGTGCTACCTCACTGAAACATACTGCCGAAGACACCCAGCAGGACGTCCCACCCGGTAACACTATTACAAGAGTTTGGAAAGAGTCCAAATTTAATACCAAACAAGCAGTTGGCAGATAGCTAGCGAGCAAACAAAAATAAATAAATAAAAGATCTTCGATATCAAAAAGAAATTAAATCTTAATAAACTTTAGTAGAAGAGAATAAATCTGCTGCAATTTGAATTTTGCAAATTTTGCAAAGTCGACATTCGAAACAAATTAGGACAAATGACTTACATTTAGTAGCCCGACATCAATCGAAACCACAGTGATAAACATGAACAAGAATATGAAACATTATTAAGAGAAACCAAAGTTTGGACGAGTGAAACAACGCTCCTCAAATCAAACTGATACCTGACGCAGGGACATGACTACTGATATCGAATTAATTGATCACAACAATGTAAGTATTTACGACAGAGTATTGATAGTGGATAGAAAATTTTAAAACGAAACTTCCATTATATGAAATCGTCATGAAATCGTAACGGTGAAACGTGTTCACGATAAACAGTGTTCACGATAAACATAAAGTACAATACTGTTAGCAGTTAGGGAATAATAGCTCGTGTTATGTTTGAACAGAACTGTAAACACCACCTCGTGTACTATTAGTTAATGTATTTTATCGAAGGTATTAGAAACACGAAAACATAGGGTATAATCTAACTGTTGATAATTGATTTTGGTTATAAGCCAAATAAATGTAAATACATTTACTTGTTTACATTAAACGAGCATACAAGACAGAGAAAGAGCTTATCAATTGCCAAATGTAAGAGTACGATTTATAAAAAGAAAACGAAAGATCCACATTAAATGAGTGAGAAGAGTACAGTTTAACCTGATTATCTGTGCTATGATCATGATCAGTTAACACGGATAGCCAAACAATAGATGAATGATAAAATATTTGATTTTGTTCGAGGAAAAGACAATAATTATTGCTATACCTCAAGTGAATTTCTAGCTATTTGATTGGTTGGGAGAAAACTAAACAAAAATCTCTGTCACCCTCCAAAATAAATTGGTTTTAAGGGGCGCGGGTGATATTGCCATGAGAAAGTGATAAATATCACATGCGCGAAAAATGTGCGTTCACCGCTTCGTTTCCCCACCGTGATGGTCACAAGAATGTTTGACGGCAACAGCCAATTTAATCAAGCGCCGGGGCGATAGCGATTGTAAACAGCAGACTATCAACAAAAAAGATGTCATTATCGAGGTTTGCTGCCGTTTCTGAGCTACAAAGACTTTTGGTGTAACAAAATAGATATGACATTCATTAGCCGGTGACAGTGAATATTGTCAACCCTCAAAAACCCATTGTCACCCTCGGCTTCGCCTCGGGTGTCAATTGTTTTCTCGGGTTGACAATATTCACTGTCACCTGCTAATGAATGTCATATTTATTATTATATAATAGCAGTTAAATGAATTAACAAGATTGAAGAATAAATTATCTAGATTCATGGTTGAAATTAAAATATACATTACTTCGCTTGATGATTGAAACTATGTAATTGTAATACAGTCAATAGGCATGTTTAGTGTCATAATGAATGCATGGACGCGATTGAATGAACGAATAAATGAATTATTTAACTCATTAACAATCAATCAATGGTTAATTGAATGAATCAATGATCAATTATCATATCATTGAATTAATAAACAATAAAATCAATGTATTTGTATTTAAAAAAATAATATTGGCTAATAACCGTTATAAGATATAAATATATTTCACTATTGAAAAATAACATGCATATAGAATGAAACGTTTATAATAACAATTCATACGGAACATATGTTCAAGCTGTCGTTGAGCTTCACAAATACAATGTTACCGAGATAACTAGCAACTAATTAGATCAGTTTAATAGTCTACAAACATTATACGATAATTATACACGATTCTACATAGTGTCATGTTTGTCTACGTTGATTTTAAAAAGTTAAATCGACAATTATTCTAGATATATGATAACCACTGACAAAATTTGTCACTTTGCATTTTAAAAATGTATTTACACTACAATGAATACATACAAAAATACAATTTGATAAATATGATAAAATATATTCAAAATTGAAGCACGTATTGGATTCACATTGACGTCATATGTCACATTTAACGATGAAACATGTACTGAATTTACACCGACAATGGCGTCGTGCAACAATCTAAAAAAAGTGACATGTAATTGATATACACCGACAGTGACTTCATGCAACATACTTAGCAGTAACACATGTACCGGATGTACATCGACAGTGACTTCATGCAACATACTTAGCAGTAACACATGTACCGGATGTACATCGACAGTGACTTCATGCAACATACTTAGCAGTAACACATGTACCGGATGTACATCGACAGTGACTTCATGCAACATACTTAGCAGTAACACATGTACCGGATGTACATCGACAGTGACTTCATGCAACATACTTAGCAGTAACACATGTACCGGATGTACATCGACAGTGACTTCATGCAACATACTTAGCAGTAACACATGTACCGGATGTACATCGACAGTGACTTCATGCAACATACTTAGCAGTAACACATGTACCGGATGTACATCGACAGTGACTTCATGCAACATACTTAGCAGTAACACATGTACCGGATGTACATCGACAGTGACTTCATGCAACATACTTAGCAGTAACACATGTACCGGATGTACATCGACAGTGACTTCATGCAACATACTTAGCAGTAACACATGTACCGGATGTACATCGACAGTGACTTCATGCAACATACTTAGCAGTAACACATGTACCGGATGTACATCGACAGTGACTTCATGCAACATACTTAGCAGTAACACATGTACCGGATGTACATCGACAGTGACTTCATGCAACATACTTAGCAGTAACACATGTACCGGATGTACATCGACAGTGACTTCATGCAACATACTTAGCAGTAACACATGTACCGGATGTACATCGACAGTGACTTCATGCAACATACTTAGCAGTAACACATGTACCGGATGTACATCGACAGTGACTTCATGCAACATACTTAGCAGTAACACATGTACCGGATGTACATCGACAGTGACTTCATGCAACATACTTAGCAGTAACACATGTACCGGATGTACATCGACAGTGACTTCATGCAACATACTTAGCAGTAACACATGTACCGGATGTACATCGACAGTGACTTCATGCAACATACTTAGCAGTAACACATGTACCGGATGTACATCGACAGTGACTTCATGCAACATACTTAGCAGTAACACATGTACCGGATGTACATCGACAGTGACTTCATGCAACATACTTAGCAGTAACACATGTACCGGATGTACATCGACAGTGACTTCATGCAACATACTTAGCAGTAACACATGTACCGGATGTACATCGACAGTGACTTCATGCAACATACTTAGCAGTAACACATGTACCGGATGTACATCGACAGTGACTTCATGCAACATACTTAGCAGTAACACATGTACCGGATGTACATCGACAGTGACTTCATGCAACATACTTAGCAGTAACACATGTACCGGATGTACATCGACAGTGACTTCATGCAACATACTTAGCAGTAACACATGTACCGGATGTACATCGACAGTGACTTCATGCAACATACTTAGCAGTAACACATGTACCGGATGTACATCGACAGTGACTTCATGCAACATACTTAGCAGTAACACATGTACCGGATGTACATCGACAGTGACTTCATGCAACATACTTAGCAGTAACACATGTACCGGATGTACATCGACAGTGACTTCATGCAACATACTTAGCAGTAACACATGTACCGGATGTACATCGACAGTGACTTCATGCAACATACTTAGCAGTAACACATGTACCGGATGTACATCGACAGTGACTTCATGCAACATACTTAGCAGTAACACATGTACCGGATGTACATCGACAGTGACTTCATGCAACATACTTAGCAGTAACACATGTACCGGATGTACATCGACAGTGACTTCATGCAACATACTTAGCAGTAACACATGTACCGGATGTACATCGACAGTGACTTCATGCAACATACTTAGCAGTAACACATGTACCGGATGTACATCGACAGTGACTTCATGCAACATACTTAGCAGTAACACATGTACCGGATGTACATCGACAGTGACTTCATGCAACATACTTAGCAGTAACACATGTACCGGATGTACATCGACAGTGACTTCATGCAACATACTTAGCAGTAACACATGTACCGGATGTACATCGACAGTGACTTCATGCAACATACTTAGCAGTAACACATGTACCGGATGTACATCGACAGTGACTTCATGCAACATACTTAGCAGTAACACATGTACCGGATGTACATCGACAGTGACTTCATGCAACATACTTAGCAGTAACACATGTACCGGATGTACATCGACAGTGACTTCATGCAACATACTTAGCAGTAACACATGTACCGGATGTACATCGACAGTGACTTCATGCAACATACTTAGCAGTAACACATGTACCGGATGTACATCGACAGTGACTTCATGCAACATACTTAGCAGTAACACATGTACCGGATGTACATCGACAGTGACTTCATGCAACATACTTAGCAGTAACACATGTACCGGATGTACATCGACAGTGACTTCATGCAACATACTTAGCAGTAACACATGTACCGGATGTACATCGACAGTGACTTCATGCAACATACTTAGCAGTAACACATGTACCGGATGTACATCGACAGTGACTTCATGCAACATACTTAGCAGTAACACATGTACCGGATGTACATCGACAGTGACTTCATGCAACATACTTAGCAGTAACACATGTACCGGATGTACATCGACAGTGACTTCATGCAACATACTTAGCAGTAACACATGTACCGGATGTACATCGACAGTGACTTCATGCAACATACTTAGCAGTAACACATGTACCGGATGTACATCGACAGTGACTTCATGCAACATACTTAGCAGTAACACATGTACCGGATGTACATCGACAGTGACTTCATGCAACATACTTAGCAGTAACACATGTACCGGATGTACATCGACAGTGACTTCATGCAACATACTTAGCAGTAACACATGTACCGGATGTACATCGACAGTGACTTCATGCAACATACTTAGCAGTAACACATGTACCGGATGTACATCGACAGTGACTTCATGCAACATACTTAGCAGTAACACATGTACCGGATGTACATCGACAGTGACTTCATGCAACATACTTAGCAGTAACACATGTACCGGATGTACATCGACAGTGACTTCATGCAACATACTTAGCAGTAACACATGTACCGGATGTACATCGACAGTGACTTCATGCAACATACTTAGCAGTAACACATGTACCGGATGTACATCGACAGTGACTTCATGCAACATACTTAGCAGTAACACATGTACCGGATGTACATCGACAGTGACTTCATGCAACATACTTAGCAGTAACACATGTACCGGATGTACATCGACAGTGACTTCATGCAACATACTTAGCAGTAACACATGTACCGGATGTACATCGACAGTGACTTCATGCAACATACTTAGCAGTAACACATGTACCGGATGTACATCGACAGTGACTTCATGCAACATACTTAGCAGTAACACATGTACCGGATGTACATCGACAGTGACTTCATGCAACATACTTAGCAGTAACACATGTACCGGATGTACATCGACAGTGACTTCATGCAACATACTTAGCAGTAACACATGTACCGGATGTACATCGACAGTGACTTCATGCAACATACTTAGCAGTAACACATGTACCGGATGTACATCGACAGTGACTTCATGCAACATACTTAGCAGTAACACATGTACCGGATGTACATCGACAGTGACTTCATGCAACATACTTAGCAGTAACACATGTACCGGATGTACATCGACAGTGACTTCATGCAACATACTTAGCAGTAACACATGTACCGGATGTACATCGACAGTGACTTCATACAACATACTTAGCAGTAACACATGTACCGGATGTACATCGACAGGAATGTTTAGATCATATTAGCAATATGGTAATAACTACCTTTAAAAATTATAAATATTACCTATCTCATCTATCATAACCAAACATATGGCTTATATTTTTTAAGCGTAATATTCAAAAAAGTTACATGCATTAAAGTCGCCAATTAAAAAGACAAAAATACGAACACACCGACAGCAAAATGGAAGACAAGCAGACAGATATAAACTGACCACTGCGATCAGCGCCACTGTTATCCCGGTACCCGCCATGTCTGTCTATTAGGGATGGTGTCGGAACACTGTGTATCGGACCAAAGAGTTGGCTATGTATTATATAAAGTTACAGATGGACAAGTTAACTTTGACATCTATTTGAACTTGACAGTAAATGACTATTATATATAATTATGTGCTAATAAACTTATATGAATGCCAAAAACGTGTGTGATGCATGAACTAACAAAACTCATGGTCTATCTAAAGAGCGAAGAGGAAGCTGATTATGTTGATAAACATCACTCTGGACAGTACCATTACTAAAGAGGACTGATGGTTTTTATTTATTATCCCTGGTATTTTTCTCTGTTTCCATTATATCTAATAACATAAAAGCGAGAAAGGACCGTGGTGACATTATCCGCCTTTAGTGAATAGGTCCGAATGTGTTTCTCCCTTGCTTACAGTTTGTCAGATGAGAATTAGTTCAATCCGATTCGGTGTTTAATTGTTTAACTAAAAGAAGGGATGCAAAGCACAAAATGGCGCATTTTATAAAATATCCTAAAAAAGGCTTATTGGAATCATCCAGTATTTGGTTATATATTCACTAAAATATAAACTCTTCAACGATGTCTCGGCGCCACCTATCACCAGACCTTACCACATACACGTCAGTAGGGTCATTTGTTGGTCATTGATTATTATTATCAGTACTTAACGGTCCATCAACACAGGATACGACATAAGGGCCAACAAATGGTCGATAAAAACAAATGCAAAATAAAAACATCGAACAAACTGAAAGGTAAAAGATAAACGTCAAATTGAACATTGAAAGGGGCTATGGTGACTCACAAATTCAGACCAGCAGCTTTCAGATAGCCTTACATTGAAGAGACATTTATGTTTTTGAAAAGAGATTAAAAACATGAAATGTTATTAAAGAAATTTTCACGAGTTGAATGATAGTTGATACAATCTAATAACAAGTGCTTTACTGTAAATGGTTCCTGACACGCTATCCATTGAGGCTGGACTTCACGTTTTAATAAATAACAATGGGTAATGTATGAATGACCTTCCCGGAGACGGGCCTCTCTCTGTAGCTAGGATGCCATTCACCGATTTCAGGTTTAATAGATTCCAATTATTTTGCCCCTGATCTTATAAATGTTGTAATTAGTGGTTTAAAATAAGTAAAATGAAGTTTAAAATCTTCAGTTGGTAGTAATAGTGCTGCTTTCGCGGCACGATCTGCCTTTTCATTACCTGGTATCCACTCATGTCCGGGAACCCAGCAAAAGGTAATATGACATTGTGAGGTAATATTATCATTAACGGTCACATGCTAACTCGCTATAAAGCAATGATAGGTAACAAAGCAATTATAGATGATGACGTCATCATTGAATAGTATTGCTGACAGCAAAGTCATCTTTTGATTCCAATTCGCTCGTGAAGTTGATATGGTTTGATAGGTTGAATAAATAATCAAGTCTTGGCTTGGATCCCCGATTAGTAAGTAATGATGTTTGTAACCGATGCATTACAATGTACATGAATATGGGGGCTAAGCATTATAGAGGTGGCCGGTCAGAAGCTCTGTAACATGCCAGTGATATATTCCATTTGGCATGCTATAACAGAAAAAGAATCTAGTAATATAGATATGTGAGAAATGATAATACAATATTCTTTAATCTTATCAGAGATAATTTGAATAAACAGTACATGTATATAGTTATTCCAATTTGATGAATTATCTTTTGAGACTGTGTAAAGATGTTTAGGACAATAAACTTTGAATAAGCAACGAAAGATAGCAAAAAATGTCAAGATACATTCAATGTAAATACAATTAGCATTTTCAATACGTGACGTTCATCAACTTTATACTAACAGAACGATAACACACTAATGCTCGTATTCACATTTCATATTGTAAAGCTTTGTGTCAACGTCGTGGTCATAAATGTATCGTATAACATTTTAATGTCGCTGTTGTGTGTTCGTATTTGACTTGTTGTTATATTTTACCAAGTGTTGGTATTAAGCTATCAGAAGACTTCCGTATACTGTAGCGAATACACACACTGCTTAGTTTCGCGTATTATCTTATAAAAGATATTCTGTAAGAATTATGAAAATCGACAAAGCGTCATGATGTTGTGACGTCAAGTTGAAGAAAATATACAATAATATTTGACATTAAATGATGGTTGTTTTGTTTCGAATTCTTCGAGTCTCAAAATTGGGGAAGGTGGGTGTTCAGGCTATTTTGGTATGACTGTGAGATAACTTTGGTATGACTGTGAGATTACTTTGGTATAACTGTGAGATAACTTTGGTATGACCGTGAGATATTTTTGGTATGACTGTGAGATAACTTTGGTATGACCGTGAGATATTTTTATTATGACTGTGAGATAGGTTCACAAGTGTTGCAATGTGGTCTTGATTTGGTTTGTTAAATGATAATAATACTTATAGTCTTTACTTATACTTGATGACAAAAGTTGAGTCAACGACTCGTCTTATACTTGGTCAAGTAGTTACAAAATATACAATTATTTACAAAACCACTATGGCAATTTTGTTAATAAATGGCTTTCCAAAAGATACGAAAGTCTCATGTATAACGTCGAATGGTCGGGACACATGCTGACGAATATGCCTGTAAATTGTTGAGGTAGTCAAATGAAATAATATTATAGTAGTAGTGGGTTCGTTCTTCAACCAGAACAAATTGTTTGCCTGCCGATTAGGAAGGGCTTTTACATTTTATAGATTCTTTGAACGTTTTATAGAACACAACCTGGGGCCGGTAGTTACAATCGGGAATTTCAGCAAGTTTGTTGAGGAAGGTGACATATATAGTTGAAGGCGTGATGACCATACATGGTTTTTGTCGAGTAAAACATTGAAGTTGAAGGGGCAAGTTTGTCATGCTGTTGAGAGATTGTAAATGTTGATTATTCCTATCAGAAACTTGTGCTCAGTTATGCCAGATCTACAGCATACCAGGGTTAGAATCAAACTTGCCGCGACATGTCAGCTTTTAACATTATTTTTTCATTTAGTGTCGCGTTGTTGATTTTCAACACGAGTATAGCTGCCAGTATTTTAATTGAAATTTAATGGATCTCCAGGGGTTAGTTTGAGCGGACATGAATAATTGTGATAACAAGAATGTATCTCATGTAACATTTGTTTATTTTGATTACTTTTGGGAGCCTCGTGTGGTAGATTGGTTTACCGATTTGGAAAATGAAGAAATGAACGTAGCACACAGCCTTGTAAATGCACCTATAAAATTGGGTAATGGATACAGTTTAGAAAACATAAATTACACTGCACCATACAGCTGACTAACGAAGACATGTATTTTCTTAGTAGGTGGAAGCGTCCTTAAACGACCTCAGCTGTTAATAACACTTTAAACAAAATAAAACCGTAGTGGGTCGAACACGTTTTTACTAAAGAGGACGAACCTTCCTTTCAGAATGATCTCTCTGCGATTGTATTCTGTAGCATGTATCAAAACAATAACTGTTTACTAAAGAGTTATGTACTTGTCCTAATACTGTTCTACCGGATTTTGTTCTTTTTAAAAAACAATAGAATTAGGTATTGCTGACGGATTTGTCAGCAAAAGCCCCCTTTACCAGCTGAGGCCGTTTATGAGGCTCTATATATTGCCTTGTTGGTGCAACAAAACACCTGGCCCAATACAGGACGTTTTAGACATCAATTTGACTCATTCCTTAATTGTTGGTGGTTTTCCAACAGACCCGTCCTCGTGCAGAACTATTGCTTTGAAAGTGCCCAGCGTTTGTCCGGACTTATATAAAGGAGTAACCACATACCATAGACGTATTGGACCTTATACTTACTGCAAGTGGCAATAACTTTGGAAAACAAATTCGGGTGGGTCCTAACACTTCCGGTAAATTATTTTGTTTATTTGTTTGTTTGAGTTTAACGGCCTATCGACAACTGCGGTTATTTAGGACCATGGTGATATTTTTATTTATTCTTAACAAACATGCGAGTAGCGAAGATAAAATCGGATAAAAATGAAAATCTTTTAAAAGCATTCACATTGTATGTGTAAATGATTAAAAATGAAAAAAGGGTTAAAATAATAATGGAGATAATAAAAGATGATATGGAATATGTTATATATATATTACGTCAAATAGGGTATGGTGGGTTAAAAGACATCAGAGTATATAGTAGAGACCGATGTCTTTCAAACAGTTAAATAATACCGTCGAGTCCACGGAACTGAAAAGAGTTTTCATATCCGGGACTCGAAAGTAATTATAACGAAAGTGTTTAACATCGGAACATTCTATTAAACAATGTTCCACTGTAAATGGAGTGACACATGCATGGCATGGTAGTGCGGACTGCTTACTGATAAAGTATGAACCTTTTTTATTATGTCATAGAGATAAGATAAGCAAAGGATGACGACACGATTCGTATATGTCCAATAACTTAAAACTCAAAAGTGCAACAATTGTGTATCCATATATTTAGATCGTTTTGGTCGACCGCCACAAGCAACGTCTTTGTAGGATGTATAACACACGTAAACACGCAGCAAGGTGGTAATAAAGCCGTGAACGTTTCGCGAGCTATGACGCAGGGTACCTCAAGCGAGACTTTCCCCGTCCGATCCTCCAAGATGAACTCCGAATGAAATGCCTTCCTCCGATAAACAACGTACATATGTTTGTGACTGACTTGACATTGTGTTTCTATTCCTTGCTCCTCGTCGCGTATATGTCGTCGCTAATTGGTGATAGTTTTATCTTTGTAATAATTGAGGTATCAAACGTTTGATTTTCCTTGATATTCATAATGCATTCATAGGACCTGTAGATGTTTATGTAATATCCATATCGGATGACAAAGAACTGCTTTGTTTATCTAATCGATCGTACCGTTGGGTAGGCGCTTAAACAAAATGATAATTTAATTAACGTCAGAAGTCTTTGTGTGTGCACATGTGACTTAAAAATAATTATGATATGAATTGACGAAAATCCTTATGATGTTCCAGTACCATGTTTTGAGCTGGTGAATAAGGTCAATTGAATAGAAAAGAATGAAAACTACGAAGGACGTATTTTATACGAGGAACTCAAAGCCTGCTGTAACAAAGACTTAAAGCTATCTTAAAGTGTAACCTTAAACTTAAAGTGTAACCTTAAACTTAAAGTGTATCCTTAAATTGTGTATCCCCAGTTGTACCGGTGTGAGATTGATAGAATCCATCCCTAATGATTCGAGGTATGGGTAAGCGTTATGCATATGATACACAATTTGTGAACAGGGTAAGAGAAAAAGAATCATTCACCCCCTGGAGGTTGAGAAAGGGGAATCTCAACCCTCGGGGAAATATTCTTAAGTTGCCCAACATGTGAAATTAATAGAACCCCCTTGAATTCCACATGTTAGTCTCATGGTTAAAGAAACGAAAAGAAATATGTGTCTGCATACTTATGTTTGTGTGATACTTCCGATTTTTACCAGAGTTATTTCTCTCAATTGTAGCACTTCTCAACATTTCACAACGGCCAGGGTGTTATCAAATTATGCATTCTAAGATATCTTCCAATCATGTCATCAATGAATACACTAACCCAAATACAACAGTCGTTGTTGAAGTGTATAACAGTGAGGCAATTTATCTCCATAATTTATTTTAAATGATGCTGTTGATGTAGTAAATAAGCAGTTATAACGTCAACGAATTTGTAAACATGATATATTTTTTTATTGATGTATAATAATATATACATATGCAAGTATAGTTTTTAAATGTAGTTCCATGCTCGTGTCGCTTCTCTGCGCGTGTTCCATTTATATTGATCCTGTTTCACGTGTGTCTGGTGGTCCATTGTGCCCTGAAACAGGAGTCAGAGGAGGTTAGTAATGACACGGAGTTATAATCTGCTTTACCCTTTTTTTTAAATGATGACATCACCTAGCAGCAACGTATTTCATTTGAGTATGAAATAAAAGAAACTTTCGTGACGTAACACGTGGTTTACTTATGACGTCAAAGATTAACCTTGGTTAATGAGAGTCTTGTCGCTGCCCCTGCGTCAAACGCTCAAATAACTTCGGTTAATTATTCGCGCCAATTTTAGTAAGATAGGGATTTTCCGCCAATGTCGTTTAAAGGACGACGCATATACAAAACGCAGTAAGTAAATAAATTATTTAAGAACAAATAAATAAAATTAAACATTTGTTCTATAGAAAAAATGTAAATATATGGATTGAACAGCGTTTTTTTTTTCAATTATCATTCCGGTATGAACGCAAGCCATTCAATCCCTATATGAACGCCAAGGCATTGTAAATATAAATTATTTGTCCTGAGTGGACGATTTGCTTAAGTAATGTCCGATCTGAAATGAATTCTTATTTAAAAATTCGATCCATTATTTTTTTCTGTTTTGTTCTCTATTTTAATTGTAAGTGTATTGATAGTATATCGTTATCAAAACTAAAAGTATTCTAATTTTCACTATTATTCTTTGAATATACTATAATAAAACACTTTGTAACAGGGTGTGATTAAATATATAAACCAACATTGCATATCACAAATACATGAAGGTCGTTTTCGATTTCTTACAGAAACATCTAGAACAAATTAAGGTTGGTCAGAATGGTTTTCATGCACGTGATGCTAAGAAAGTTATGTCGGGTTTCGGAATTCCTCTATATTATAGCGATAATGAATATGACAGGTGTACTTAACACAGACTTCACAGGTAGCAGTATTATATAAAGACAGATTCACGGGAAAAGAGCTATGGTACTTTAATAACAATAATTATCATTATTCCTGAAAGCGCGTGTCACAACTGAATATTATCACTACTATTCCACTTGTAACATGACACATCTATTTATTTATCACTGCCAGGGATGTTTGCTATTCAAATTGCGAGTTTGATCAAAGTTGAACGATTTCGATAATAACTCATTTGATAGGGTAAAACGCATAGCGCAATGTAACCCATCAGAAAACCACCTTTTCCCTTCGTGTTTTTTGTCAGGATATAACATACCCCCATGCTATATATCAAGTAAGGGAACTATGTTTAACTTCGTTATTCTGTATATAAGCAAGGAACTACATTTAATATGTGTATGTATCCAGTAATGGAGTACAGAAATTACCATTGCTTGGTTATATTGATTAACTTCCCGAGCTCGTACGCTCGTTTCAACTCACCAACTTTCCTGACTTGTCTGCGTGAGTCGTCTCTTGTGCCGGGTGGGCTGTTACCGAAGTTCCTAGTGACGTCACGTCTGCCGTTAGAGCCACTACGAGTACCTGTCGGTGAAGATGTGAAATTGACAAGATATTACGGCGAGTTAAACACTGTAAATCAGCAACATTATGATAGAATCCGCGAGGAGAGCAGATTGTTAATTGTATTCCGAGTCATTGGAAGAAACGAGATATATATTATAGTCCATTTAGAGCAAAAAATCCTAGCGGGAAAGAACACCCAATTGAAATGCCTTCGTAATACATAGTTGATACACAATAAGTATTTACAGCAGTTGATAGTGGTTCACGCTGACTCTCGAACTGATTTATGTTTATTTACCGGTAGAAAAGTATGTCGATAAATCGTTATGAAAGTTAATCATTTCCAAAAACAGGCGGTTGAATACAACTGACTCCTGAACTATTACAGGGTGATAACGTTGTGATAACGTTGTGACGTTGTGATAACGTTGTGATAACGTTTTAATACGTCCTCTTACTTATGTGGTCACAATCGTATGGATATACTACGAAACGCGTAATAATGTATTCAAAGTATAACTTTGCGCATAATGTATACTTAGTTTGAAGAGAACTATATTTTGGTTGGAATATTAGTATGTTTTTATTCATCAAACGCCTGTCCATAACAAGGATTATACTTACATCGGCCACAGGACAGCCGGCAGTGACTGATCATGTAACCCGGGTTAAAGCTGCACTCCCCAATGCCTGCCCAGGTTTCGCATTGTTCATTGTTGTCGGAGCAGGCGCCTGGGATACAAGCAACATAATAGTATTCACGTTAAAACAATTGGTACATCATCTAACAATGCTGCACCAATAATATAAACAAGCTAATCTTCGCAACGCAACGCTTTTGTCACTATCTAATCTTCTATATTTATTAAGTTACAGTCTACACTGTCATTCACTCAATAACCATCGTTCCTGCAGACTGGCAATAACATCTCGCAACCTGACCAAATATCGTCTCACAATACCATGACGCCAACAATAATATATGTTCTTGGTGTAATGCAAAGTTTCTGCGAACGAGATACAATTATGTGACGTCATCGACAGTAGCTATATAGGCCGAGTTAAACAAGGCTTCGGTGAATTTCAGATTTTGTAACATTTTTATTTAACCGATCACTCGTACATTTGTTCTAAATGTGAAATTTATGTCCGCTGAATGATATATAATAATGGTTGTAAACCGTTCACAGAAACATTCTGTAAATATTTGGACTTCTATTTAGGTCAGGTTAGGATGTGATGACTTCGGTGATGCATTAACACATTACTACTTCGCCGTCAACTGGAGTTATCATCTTATAACCTGACCTAAACAGAAACTGTTCGTTCAGAAAACAGTTGCATGAAATGAGAACTTTTCTCTTGAAGATTTGTCCGAATTCTTCTGTTTTAATCACAAATTGTTGTTTTATAACGAATCCATTTTTCTACTTACACGTCCCGCATGCATGCTGGCATGTTCTATGCATGTACATCGGGTTTCTGTCACACTCGCCTGTGGCCGCCCAACCTCGGCACTGTATTTCGTAATTGTTACAATCTGGGATACAAACGATATTCATATAATATCAATCATGTTAAAGCAGTTTGGATCTAACAATATAATACAGATCCAATTAAGACATAAATTTGTATTTTTAAAGAAAAGGGACTCAATTTCATATAAACAAAGATTGCGCTTCCCCTTTGGGACAGGGGGACGGGTCCCAACTAGAGGAATTAAGGTAAATCTTCAAAACAATCCTTTGCAATTGAAAAGTTTAATTATTTCAGGCTGGGTAGGAGTTGTCAGACTTGGCCCAGATATCTAACTTTTGAGGGTTAATAAGGGTTATCTCGAGAGTTAATGATCCTTTAGTGTCTACTCGTTGAAGCTCGTACATTATCTTATAAAGTAAGACAGTTACAGGATATACCCTATAATCAATCATTACTCGTTATATCTATATATACAGCTTTAATTTTAGACGGTTATGCGTGACAGAAAATGAACTTACCATCGCCTCCTCGGCTGTTCGCATAGGGATCGGTCATTCTTTTAAGAGGGTTTTCGTTTGCTGTGTGTAGAGGAAGAACGTCAATAAATTTATCATAATGTATCGAAGATTCTTTATTGACTCACAATGTATTATTGATAGGGCAATAAACCCTAGAAACCGATAAACATTTAAAGTGTATTCCACATATAAAGACAGTATGGACATATATCCTGTTTGACAATGGAGTGTACTGCATTTTACCGTAATCGTATCGTTTGTGGAGATTACCTCACTGTATCATTGAGGACTACAAACGGGGGCAATTGTCGCATTATAATATTATATACGGACATTGTTTCTTTGCAATCTTAGTAAGACAAAGGATAATCGATTGAAATACATATTGTTCACAAACTTAAGCACATTGACCACGGAATATAGATATTGTAAACAGGAAATACATATTGTTCACAAACTAAAGCACATTAACCACGGAATATAGATATTGTAAACAGGAAATACATATTGTTCACAAACTTAAGCACATTAACCACGGAATATAGATATTGTAAACAGGAAATACATATTGTTCACAAACTTAAGCACATTAACCACGGAATATAGATATTGTAAACAGGAAATACATATTGTTCACAAACTTAAGCACATTAACCACGGAATATAGATATTGTAAACAGGAAATACATATTGTTCACAAACTTAAGCACATTAACCACGGAATATAGATATTGTAAACAGGAAATACATATTGTTCACAAACTTAAGCACATTAACCACGGAATATAGATATTGTAAACAGGAAATACATATTGTTCACAAACTTAAGCACATTAACCACGGAATATAGATATTGTAAACAGAAACAATCCATTGAACACCGAGTAAATTGTTTACAGAATGATCCTATTGTACCCTGAGGTATACTCATTGCCTTTATAAAGTTAAGTTTAGATGCCGTACCTTCCTTTCCGGCAAGCGGGTGACTATCGACGTGCGTCAATTTTGCGGCGTAGATAATCTGAATCATCTGAAACAATTAAACGAAAATAATTTTGATGGGTGCATATCCAGGATCAAGGAAAGGCAGGGGAGGTCTTAAAGGACGAGGATCAACGAGAGACGTGGCGTACAGGGTATATAACGAAAATGTGCGTTAATGAAATCTTGAGTAAAATAACAAGATTTAATATTGGAAAATTATTTCAATACAAAGAATGTTTCTGATAATGTTATTGGTTATACGTTACAAACATGTACATATCTTTACAACTATTTAAATATATACAGACAAATATGTCACGACAGAAAACGAGTATAACAAGTATCAGCAAAATTACCAAAATCGAATAAGTGTAAATGTAAAATAAGTGTAAATGTGAATAAAAGTGTAAATATAATATTGTCTACTATTATTGATTGATAGGGACTGCCTAAGAAATGAATGGAAGATATACGAAAGTATTTGGAGGAAAGAAAGGACGATAAACAATAACTAGTAATGTATTAACAAGATAACAGAATGGGATGAAATATCAATCGTTTCGTTCGATAATCAACACATAAAATAACAAGAGGCCAAATGGGCCTGCATCGCTCACCTGGTAATAATCTCACACTTGTAATCTTAAAAGAGGACTAAAATACAGCTACAGGCAGAATATCAGTGTTTGATTCATAAGAACCTATTAAAAGATTTAAACACATGAGGCCTGTGACATTGAATGTCGAACAAGGACATTAGGTTTAAAGTGGGTCAAGGTCATTCATTTGAACAAACTTGGTAGCACTTCATCCCAGCATACCACAGGCCCAATATCAGTACCCTGGGCCTCTGGGCCTTTTGGTTATTGTGAAGATGTCGTTTGAAGATTTTAGCAAATTTGAACCCTGTGACCTTGAAAGTGGGTCAATGTCATTCATTTGAACAAACTTGGTAGCCCTTTATCCTAGCATGCTACAGGCCCAATATCAGTACCCTGGGCCTTTTGGTTATTGAGAAAAAGTTGTTTAAAGTAAAATATTGACGCTTGACGACGGACGCCGCACCACGGCATAAGCTAATAACTAGTTAAATGAAGAAAGTAAGATCCTCATTGTGGTGTTTGTTTTTACAAGAAGAAAGTACAACAAGGTTAACATTTTACTGCACCGTAAGCCCATATTAATGATAACGACTCACACTTAACAAGGTTAACATGTTACTGCACCGTAAGGCCATAATAATGATTACGACTCACACTTAACAAGGTTAACATTTTACTGCACTGTAAGGCCATATTGATGACAACGACTCACACTTAACAAGGTTAACATGTTACTGCACGGTAAGGCCTTATTAATGATTACGACTCAAACTTAACAAGGTTAACATTTTACTGCACCGTAAGGCCATATTGATGATTACGACTAACACTTAATAAGGTTAACATTTTACTGCACTGTAAGGCCATATTGATGATAACGACTCACACTTAACAAGGTTAACATGTTCCTGCACTGTAAGGCCATATTGATGATTACGACTCGCACTTAACAATGTTACCATTTTACTGCACTGTAAGCCCATATTGAAGATTACGACTCACACTTAACAAGGTTAACATTTTACTGCACCGTAAGGCCATATTGATGATTACGACTAACACTTAATAAGGTTACCATTTTACTGCACTGTAAGCCCATATTGATGATTACGACTCACACTTAATAAGGTTAACATTTTACTGCACCGTAAGGCCATATTGATGATTACGACTAACACTTAATAAGGTTACCATTTTACTGCACTGTAAGCCCATATTGAAGATTACGACTCACACTTAACAAGGTTAACATTTTACTGCACCGTAAGACCATATTGATGATTACGACTCACACTTAACACGGTTAACATTTTAATGCACCGTAAGGCCATATTAATGATTACGACTCACACTTAACAAGGTTAACATTTTACTGCACCGTAAGGTCATATTGATGATTACGACTCACACTTAGCAAGGTTAACATGTTACTGCACCGTAAGGCCATATTAATGATTACGACTCACACTTTACAAGGTTAACATTTTAATGCACCTAAGGCCATATTAATGATTACGACTCACACTTAACAAGGTTAACATTTTACTGTACTGTGAGGCCATATTGATGATTACGACTCACAATTAACAAGGTTAACATTTTACTGCACTGTGAGGCCATATTGATGATTACGACTCACACTTAACAAGGTTAACATTTTACTGTACTGTGAGGCCATATTGATGATTACGACTCACACTTAGCAAGGTTAACAGTTTACTGCCCTGTAAGGCCATATTGATGATTACGACTCACACTTAGCAAGGTTAACATGTTACTGCACCGTAAGGCCATATTAATGATTACGACTCACACTTAACAAGGTTAACATTTTACTGCACCGTAAGGCCATATTGATGATTACGACTCACACGTGGTACGATACGTCCAAGAATGACACGTCTATGTCTAATGCATTAAAAATTGTGTAATATACAGCGAAAGGAGAAAGGTGCTTGTAAAACCTTTCATAACGATATAAATCTATTTTTGCTACAGTAGATAATTCAAACTTAGACTAGCATTTAATATGAACCTTGCAACAATATATACAGGAAAAATAGCATGCAGATAAGATGAAATATAATGAAGTGCATACGGGTAACTTACATAACTCTGACGGGGATCAAAATGCGGTGTTGTAGAGGCTACTAGCAAGGGACTGATCCCGTTCAATCGTCTCCGAACGATTATTCTATGCACCGAAGTCTTAATAACGTCAACTAGATAGCATTACCATTTATATCTTAATTAACGACTGACAAAATTCAACATACTACTATAACAAGGTTTAGTCAAATTGTTGCAACATAATTAATAGTGAAATATATACTGGATTTACACCGAAATTGTCATACAACATACTTCACACTGGCACATGTGCTTGATTGACACCGATGGTGACGTGATAAACATACTTCACACTGGCCAATTTGTTTGATTGACACCGATGGTGACGTCATAAACATTCTTCACGCTGGCACATTTGCTTGATTGACACCGATGGTGACGTAATAAACATACTTTATACGGACACATGTGCTTGATTGACAGCGATGGTGACGTATTAAACATACTTTATACAGACACATGTGTTTGATTGACAGCAGTGGTGACGTCATAAACATACTTTAGACAGACACATGTGCTTGATTGACAGCGATGGTGACATAATAAACATACTTTATACAGACACATGCGCTTGATTGACAGCGATGGTGACGTAATAAACATACTTCACACTGGCACATGTGCTTGATTGACACCGATGGTGACGTCATAAACATACCTTATACAGACACATGTGCTTGATACACCGATGGTGACGTCATAAACATACTTTATACAGACACATGTGCTTGATTGACAGCGATGGTGACGTAACAAACATACTTTATACAGACAAATGTGCTTGATTGACAGCGATGGTGACGTAATAAACATACTTTATACAGACACATGTGCTTGATTGACACCGATTGTGACGTCATAAACATACTTTATACAGACACATGTGTTTGATTGACAGCAGTGGTGACGTCATAAACATACTTTAGACAGACACATGTGCTTGATTGACACCGATGGTGACGTCATAAACATACTTTAAACAGACACATATGCTTGATTGACACCGATGGTGACGTCATAAACATACTTTATACAGACACATGTGCTGGATTTACACCAAAAGTGACGTCCATAATACTTCACAGTGCCACATGTGCTAGATGTACACCGACAATGACGTCATACAACATATTTATCACGGACACGTGTACTGTTTTACACCGACAATGACGTCATACAACATATTTATCACTGACACGTGTACTGTTTTATACTGACCCCATTCAATGTATGTTATAGCGACACATGTACTGGTTTGCACCGAAAGTGGCGTCATACAACATAGTGCGATACATATACTTGATAATATATCAGATTTAAACTAGCTTTCAATTTTATTAATATTTCTAATCTCATTTCTCTTCAACACGTAAAAGGCTAAACATTTTCAAGTGTAATATTCGAAATAAGATTCATGTAGTTAAGTCAACATAGAAGGACAAACAACAAACATACAGAAAGATTGAAATCTACCAGTCAACTTTAAACTTACCACTGCGATCAGCGCCACTGTTATCCCGGTATCCGCCATGTCTGTCTATTAGGGATGCTGTCGGAGCACTGTATCAGTCCACAGGTTTCCCCAGGCATTTTATACAGTTACAGAGAGACAATTTAACCATTTGACATCTGAAATGTATTTGGTCTTATCAGTAATTGTCTATCATGAATAATGACGTATTTATAAACGTCAAACAAACCTCGTAGTCTATCTACATTATCATCACTCACGACAGAAACAGTAATTCAGAGGACTTATTTAACCTTTCTCTGCTATTGTAATCGGTTGCCGAGTTTATCAATATATCTCATAAGTATAAAGCGAGAACATATTACATTTATATGCTCAGATAAACATCTATTAACGATTTGGTCCAAATGTCATTTTTTTTTCCTTTTACTTATACTATGTGTAATAAACACGTTTTGATTATTTTAGACATAACGGCTGATTTTTGAGGGTATGACGATGATAGGGTATTAAATAATTACTTTTATCGCCACAAAACAGCCTAATTGGCATCATCCATTTTTATACGCCCGTCCATATCTTCATTATTTTCAATAGATTAATTTGAAACTTCATAAGTATGTTCATTACCATAACAGCTAGGATAAGTTTGATAACCACCAATATCCGACGGTAACTTACGGAGTTAAGGCCCTTTATCCACTTTCCGAAACGGTGTCCCATATATATCTTCAATAATTTTCACCAGATTAAATTCAAACTTCATATGAACGTTTATTACCATAACAGCCCGGACAAGTTCGATAGCCTCCAATATCCGACGGTAACTAACGGAGTGTCCACGTGGTATCTCAGCTAATTTTGGACGTTTTACCAATTGGCTTCATGTAGGATAAAAAAAGTAACAAAAAGTGAGTGGAAATACCCTAAGACTTGTGTCGGAATGTGATAAATTTGATTTCATGCTGTTGTTGATGTCATCGTTCTCAGGTCATATCACTTCATAAGATGTCCTTAGCCTAGGACGTTAAATCCTTAACAAATACAATCTTTGGTGATATCACAGGTCATCAAGATAATCAACTCCTGTTTTCAACAGGGCTTTCCCGAACAATTCAAGTGGTCAAACTGGACATTTGGAACGGACTATGATTATTGGGATAGCAAGGTAACATAAGTGGAAGTCCATACTACACATGCATTCATTAAAAAAGTATGGCTCTTCACGTGATGTCCGTTTAAGCTCAAGTTGATAGCAATGGCCAACAATTAGTATACCACCATAATTATTTGAGTTATGCGTCCTGAATATTTCACTATCAATAGAATGATTCGCTAGGTTTCAATAATTCAATACTACATGCAGTCCATGATGTGTAAATTTATTAGTAAATTGTATTTTGGTGTACGCAACTTTAGCCTTTGCCAAGGCAGTTAGAGTTAGCTCCCTTAGCTCCCGAAGCTAGTTCCGGTCTTTTAACAGCATTAGCAGAGCAAGATGGCAGCAGCCTCACAGTGCTTTATATAAATATAAAATCCAGCGACATCGCGATGAACGCTTACAATCTAAGAGAGCGATCAAGCTCACTAATGACATTCCTCCAAAATTGTGACAGCGAGGAGACCGATGATAATGTACATCGGAAAGAAAATGCTTCTCAATCTCGTGACAAACATCAGGGTGCTAATGGGGATGCTGGCCGGCATGGTGCCTGTGGAGGCCCACCACCTTCAGCGATGAGTGACAAACCAGAAGCCGAGCTCGAAAAGGAACTCGATAGTTTAAAAGCGGAGTTAAGAAAAGGGGCTCTCTGCAAGGAGATCGAAGATTGTCGGCGGAAACTTTATGAACAAAATCGCCCCTTCGTCTCCGCCCCTCCACGTGATCGCCAGGAGGGTGGGTCATCAACAGAGAGAGAACGACCAAGCACTTCAGGTATGAACAATTACCTTGACTTAAATTTCCAGACACTGCTGCGGAATGTGAACAATACAAAAAAGTCAAAATCACGCCTTGTACACAATTATCTTTGGCGCGATCCCACATTGATAGACGAGGACAAAATCGTCACGTTCACCACCACAGGGGTCAAAGTAAATCGTAAAATGGACAAAGATTACTACAAAATCAGCTGTACTTATATGGACCTCCGGTAGGCAGCCAAACATATTTCACCTGGGTGCAATTTAGCCGAAGTGGATTTAGCGTCGGCTTACAGATAGTAAATATCCACCCATTGAATTACAAAGCAACAGGTTTGAAATATTATTTCGATGGAAATGACAATCCAACATACATGTATGATACACAATTGCCTTTTGGGGCATCCAAAAGTCCACAGATTTTTTAAAAACTCAGAAGTGCTGTATGTAGAATATTAAAATGTAAATATGGTTTCACAGCAATTGCCTACTTGGACTATTTTTTAGTGTTTGGCAATACTTATAATGAATGTTACAATGCTATGTGTAGATTGTTACAGCTGCTGCGACAGCTGGGTTTTGGGATTAACTGGTCCAAAGTAGAGGATCCGGTACGACAGATCATTTTTCTAGGCATAATGGTCAATACAATACAATGACTTTTTCTTGCCTAATGACAAGCTTCAGAGTTTCTCAGAAGTGCTAAGTGAGTTTTTGGTACGAAAAGGAGCAAGTCGCAAGCAGCTTGAAGTATTAATAGGTAAATTAAACTGGGCGTCACAAGTAATAAGTGGGGGCCGCACATTCCTGAGGAGAGTAATTGATATGAAAGACAAACTTTGTGCCAATTCTCATAAGATGGCAGCAGCCTCACAGTGCTTTATATGAACCCGCCCACCCACCCTAGTTTAATATGGGTAAGCTTGCAAGATTATATTTGGGTAGTATTACTTATTTTTATGCAGTACATATATACGTACACGTGCGGCTAATCCCGTGTGTTGGGGATATTTTTTCATGATTTTTGTTAACTTTATTGTTTGAAAAGAAATAATTATTGTTTATGTTAATTGTGGTTGGGATAACCAAGTGAATACATTTCTGCCCTGTTGACGTTTGTATTTGTTGATGTTTTCCACAAATTTTAGCTAGTGGTGGTTGAACCATATTAATAATCTATCATGTTTGAAAAATTGTTTCTTCTGTACCGTTAATTATTCTGAAATATTTCATATTACAACCATACAAACAACTGGTCATTCAACATGTGATGGGCGTATAATGTACCGCTTTGCGGTTCCCTTGTTGGATTATGTATTGACAAATCTAAACATTTCAATGGTGTCTCAGGGCCTATACAACTACAGTAAGTATCTATATTTGATATGCTTGAATAGGTTGAATATATCTTCAAGTCTTTGCTGGATCTTTGATGTATTGAGTAAGTTTTAGTGCTTGTAATTGTGGCACTCTGTTATATTAAGTGTCTTTTTCATTATCGGCTTTGATATTGATTTTTTTGATTTGATAAAAACAAATACTTTATCCTTGAATTTTTTGCAGGCGAGTTACCTTTCTCTTCGGTAGCTGTGACCCGTACTTTCGTTTTCCGGGTACTTGTTATTGGGGCCTGCATAATGTACAATATCTAATCATTTGATTGTGTTACACCTGTTATGTCATTTGTTATTTGTTGTATTCATTGTTCACCTGACTGATCACTCCGGACAAACATGCGCACTGCGTCGCTTATTTCTTTTCCGCTTATCTCTTTCTTACAACATGAACACTCTTGTATCTGTCCTATGACTCATATCATCAGCATCTCATGCAGGGAAGTCATTTACAATGTATTTTTAATGATTAATTTAACATTATTGAGTAGATTCTTATATAAGACCTAACATAAATTCCTTTGTTGGAATTAGTCGTCAGTCAAAGCCAATTATAAATTACATTGTATATTGAGAATGTTATATGATTTATCTTTGTATTGTGATAGTAGAGTTCTATTTTTGATTTAACTTGTTAGGATGTCTATTATCTAGAAATCGTAGAATTTTGTTGTCGTCCTTTTAAATATTCCATTAACAACAAGTGTTTTTTATGTTGTTTTAGGGATTTTTTTCGAATGAGTAATACACATCAGAAACATTGAACAGATTGATGAGTACTTTGTGCAAAAGAACCCCTTTTCCACATAATGGATGTATTAAATGAATAAAAGGAGGGGTATAAGAATTATAGGAATGTGGGGTGAGAGGCCCTAAAGTGGAACAGTGACATATCCATACCACATTAAGTACTATAAACAATGTGGGAGTTGATGCTGAATGTTTCTCTACTTTTATCACAGATATTTGGTATAATTAGCTGCGTGATTAGTAGGTACAATCATGCAGTTATATTGTCAACAAGTATAATATGGTTTAATGTTTATACAGTAACTCCAACGTTATGCTTTATATGATGTAAATAGCGATATTGGTATTCGAAATAATGGTAAAATTAAACGGAAGCCAGATAGAAACAAAGTGTCCGCTGATATGCGGTATATGCGTTTAAATAACTTATTTAACTTACTTTAACTTTTTTTTCTGAACTCAGTCATATCTGCCTCTATATTAAGACAATGATCCATATTTCATTAAGATATGTCTCAGTGTCTTTGATGTGACGTCACTCCAATGTTGTGCATCTCCTATGGTTACTTCCCCAAATCTAATAAATGTGGTTAACAAATTGTGATAAGTCTAGACACGCTCTGATGTAGTAAATGGTTTGGTTAGATTTCTTTAACGTCCTTTAAACAGCTAAAGTCATTTGAGGACGTGCCTCTATGTGTGCTGCGTAAGCGTGCATCTGTGTATGCGTGCAGAAGACAGGGTATGTTGGTGTATCTGCCTCCTTGTGATAGCGCAGATCTGTTGGTGTATCTGCCTCCTTGTGATAGCGCAGATCTGATGCCGACTTTATAGTGCTATTTCACTGAAATACCATGCCGAAGGCATTTATCACAGCATTCCGTCCAGTCACATTATACAGACAACGGGTGAACCAGTTGTTGCAATTACCCTTAATGCATGCTGACCGTTAAACAGGGAATAACAACTACCATTTTAAGGACTTTGGTATGTCCCGGTCTGGGGACTAAATCCATTGCCCTCCTCACCTTGGCGAATGTTCAA